ATTAAAATACGTAAATACCCAGGAGAAGCAGGTTCTCACCGTCGGATTAAGGGGCAAAATCGCGACAACCAGAATTTCCCAGACAGCAGTGGTCCCTTCTCGAAATTGCTATGTCGCTTTCCCACCTTCAAACCAACCACCAAATCACGAAAAGTAAACAATCCACTATAAGAACCTTTCGAACCAAAATCAAAAGACACAACAAGCTTATTTTAAGGGTATGGGAAACTCACAAACGAAGCGAACCTGAAAATGGAAGTCCTTGGCCGCGATTAGGGTTTCTCGGCAACGATCTTCTCGGGTTTCCTGGCCTTCGACGATGCACCTTAGACTTCCCCACTGTGCTTGTGTTTCGTCCGAAATATGGTGCTCCTGAGAATCACCATGGCGAGGACTGCATGGAACCCGTCGGCGTAAAATGGAGGCGATGGTTGTGGCTCGTGGTTCGAATCGAAAACTGGGTTTGGGGTAGGGTTAATTGGGGGGTGGAGGCGTCGATCAGTGATATTCCGCCGTGTTTCTGGGTTTGAAGCTCTACTCTCGCCGTCGGAGTGGTCGGAAAAGGGAGAGCTTCGCGAAAGGGGAGAAGACGGATCGAAAGGGGAGAAGATGGATCGAAATGGAAGGTGGGGCGTCGTTTAGTGGTTTTAGGGTTTTTTCCCCCTCTTTTAATCCACGTCAGACAGTGGGGTCAAAAAACCCACCACGTCAGCAAAAACCGTTTGTCCAATCATCAGGTTAACTGACGGAACAAGATGAAAATGGATATATCGTGTATTTCAATAGATGTGAATATATTTAGCACAAAGTGATAGTTGTGGATATATAAGTGTATTTTGCCAAAATAAAGTGTGAACTCCCTAAACCAGCACAGAACACGTGAAATAAATACAGGGTATTGAGCCACTCACCAGTCACCACTATCCTCAAACATACATTTGCTCCGGCATACTAAACTAGCAGCCATGGCTGATCCTACATCGATTCTCAGTCCTCCACTCAACAACAACGACCAACTTCCCAGCCAATCACCAATCACCACCATCTCCGCCGCAATACCCATTCTGCTACTCGTCGCAACTTGGTTCTTCTCAGTCAAAAGATCCAAATTGCGAGCACCTCCGCCTCCGGGCCCCCGCGGCCTGCCGATCGTCGGGTACATCCCATTCCTCGCCGGCGACAACCCACTCCACCGCAAGTTCGCCGACCTCGCGGGCCAATACGGGCCCATCTTCAAGATCTGGTTCGCCAACCAGATGTTCGTCGTCGTCAGCTCCCCTGATCTGACCAAAGAAGTCCTGCTCCGCGGCGGGCAAAACGAGCCCATCTTCTCCACCCGCGGGTTCCCGGCGGCCGCCGGCGTCTGCACCTACGGCGGCACCGACGTCCTGTCCCTGCCGATGGGTCACGACTGGAAATCGATGCGGAAACTCCTGGTCAGGGAAACCCTAAGCAACCCTGCTCTGGACCTCTGTTTTCCCCTGAGGAGAAGAGAACTTGTCAGGTCGCTGAGGGAAGTAATTAGCAACGAGCTCGTCGGGAAACCGGTCGGCGTCTACGAATTGACGTACAAGATTGTCTCGAATGCGACTCTGGGTATGCTGTGGGGCGGGGAAGGGGATCAATTTTGCTTTGAGGAGCTGCGAGTAGTGAGCCAGGAAGTGATGGAGATCAATTCGAGGCCCAATGTTTCCGACATGTTTCCCATGCTAGCGAGGTTTGATCTTCAGGGGATTTTGAAGGAAGCGACGGCGGTTGCTCAGCGACTTGATTGGGTGTTTAGCTCTGTGATTGAGAGAAGATTGGAGGGTGGCAAGTTGAAGAAGCAGGGGGAAGGGGAGAAGAGGTTGAAGGATATGTTGCAGATTTTGCTGGAGATTAGGGAGGACTCTGAGAATGCTGGTTCGTCGTCGTTGGCCTCCATGACCCACCTCAAAGCCATTCTTCAGGTATTCATCTTCAGTTTCTCAATTTGAGCTTCTGAGATTTCATTTGTTTTTGTGGATTTATTTGACTAAAATCAACAACAGAACCCTATCTTGATCAACATTAGAGTATAAATGGTTACCTGACCTGAACATTTTACATTTACATAAAGTAGTTAGATTAGATACCATGGATCTCTCCCAACCAATGCAACTAAAATCGCGTTTTAAATCTCAAACGCTCACTTTTAGATCACCAAAACGAACGTATGTAGAATCACTCTTTTTATTTACAAGCGTAATCAAAACTTACGCTTTAAATCTTAAAATCTTACGGCTTTACGCTTCTAGGTCACCGAAACACTTCCACGTAGAATCGCACTTTTGACTTCATTGCTCCCAACAACTCGAGTTATTAGACCAACTGGTTTATAACATGATATCAGAGCTGATTTGTTTTTAAGATCGCATATTCAAGTTATTACGATCTTCAATATTCACAGTTGTCCTTAAATCACATGATATGACGGACATGTACAAATTTCAAGCCAATAAATTGGCTTTCGTTTCAAGAAGCGTATAAAAAAAGTGATTAAGTATCATACAAGAACTCCTCCCAACAACTCGAGTTTATTGACACCACTGATTTATTACATCGTTGACAATCATTTTGTTTTTACCTCGTATGTTTCAAAGGACATAGCGACCGGCGGCACCGAAAACATATCGAACGTAATCGAGTGGGCACTGTCAGAGCTGTTAATGAACGACAGAGTGATGAAGAACGTCAAGCGAGAACTGGACGAAATCGTGGGACTCGACAGTCTCGTCGAAGACCAACATCTCAAGAATCTCAACTACCTCGAAGCCGTGGTGAAGGAGACATGTCGGTTGCACCTAAACCTCTTCCCTCGGCTGTCAACCGCACCCTCTACACTCGGTGGTTATGCGATTCCAAAAGGATCGATGGTCATAATCAACGCGTGGGCCATCCACAGGGATCCGCAGTTTTGGGACGAGCCGTCGGAGTTTCGACCGGAGAGGTTTCTGAACCAAGACAACGACAAGAGGCCGTTTGATCTGATGGGCAACAACAGTAATTTCCAGTTCATCCCGTTTGGGTCCGGGCAGAGGATTTGCGCCGGAGCTAATTTGGCTGGGAAGCTGCTGAGGTACGTCTTGGCCTCGCTGTTGCATTCGTTTGATTGGAAGCAGCCGGAGGGTGCAGAGAAGATTGAGTTTTCGGATTATTACAAGATATTCATCAAGAAGAAGAAGCCGTTGATGGCTGTGCCGACACTTCGATTGTCTTCTCAAGACCTGTTTGCCTAATTGGTGTGGTGGTGACAACTTGGTAAACATGTATTATGTCTTTGGCTTTCCCTCCTTTTTTTTCGGCACTGTTCTGCAATGTAATTTCGCGTTGTATGATTTAGGGGAGATCCAGGTTGAGCTAAGTGGAATGGGTTTGGATAATCTTGGCCAAACACATCTGTAAGATGCAGTTGCAGAAAATAATAAGAGCTCTACCAAAATCTTGGGTAAGGCGAGATTATTCACACTGAATGATAAGATCGGGTAAAATTTTACGTATTCGTACAAAAATTTAAACATGGTATCAAAATTTTGAATTTATGTTGATCAATTAGAAGCTATAAAGAAGATGAGTAGATATGTTGTTGTCAGTAAGCATTATTCTTTAGTGAGCTTTTGTAATGTCCAAGCATAATGACACACCCAGGCTTATGTTGACTAATGTACTCCTTTGCAAGTTCAAAAGCAAAATGGTTATCACCAAGCAGCAAGCAACATTACTTTAATCTAGGGACCAAAAATATTGACAACTCCCCTTATTGAGCACAATTATAAAAGAAAACGGGTTCAATATATAGATTAATTCGATAGACTTTCTCATTTTATAAACTTTTTTAATCCTAATTTCGACTATAGTGCCAATGACCTTTAAATACATGCTAGTATTTTTATTTTATTTTTTTGTATTAAAAAGTATATGGAGGTGCATTTTTCCTATTGCAAAATTATAATTAATATGATTTTTTACAAAATATTTGGAATGCAAGTTAAAATAAAACACATGATCGATTGAAAAATAGTAGAAGATTAGTTATCTTATCTGAAGAGAAGGGAGATAAATTAGCACTATTAAATCTATCTAAATTCTCCTATTTTATGTTATCATCATACCAATATCATATCCCTAAAACACCTTTTTCTGAGAGTTGCTCCAATTGGAAGGAATTTGGAAGATGCTTTGGCCGAAGAACCATCGCTGTGAAACCATATGGCCGTATGAGCCAAGGGTCTTGTCTCCATTCATTTTAATGAAAGCGACCATTAATTTCTTCATCACTCATAGGATTATGCAAACTGGTGAAGCAGTAAGTAACTAATTGTACCGTTGAAGATTAAATAAGATCGTAATAACATAGTGCTAACACCATGTTTAACTCACCATGATTTCTTTTTTAGAATTCAGTTTATTAGAAACCCAACTCTTTGCTTTTGTAGGTATTATCATCTGGCTTAATTATGGTCGAAGTAATTTGTGACGTGGTGACCGTCCTAGCTATTGGTAACTCCGTAACTTCACCATGTGAAACGAGGCACTATGAAGTAAAAGGAAACAGAAAATGAATTAATTATCGTTAAAAAATTTATTCATGAGAGTTCTTATATTGGAATTTGATAACCCAATAATAAAAATAGATGATGTATGTACTTATATATTATGGTAATATAATTGTACAAACTTTACATTAATAATGGACTCTGGATGGCCCCTGCATGTCCCCGTCCTTGATGCAATCGGCGGAGTATCTTTCACTCGACAGCAATTTGTTGAATGAACATGCTAATCAGCTTATGTCTGCAGCCGATTAATTCAACTGGATCCTGGATGGGCGGCAGGTCGTCCTCCTCGAACCAATCGGCAGCGTTTCGATTCCTCCACACCAGTTTCTTTCATCAATAAATAGGACAGCCTAATCCGTTAATTGCCCACATCCGCAAATTAAATTCTAATTCCGGCGGTTTCAAATTTCTCTCTTTCCCCATATGGCTACTTCCTTAATTTCTCGTTTTCAGGATGAGACTTCCGCCGCCTCACTGTGGGCCATAACCGCCGCAATAATAATCTCCGCCGGCATCTGGTTACGTAGGAGTCTCCGAACATCCAAATCGCCTCCGCCGCCGCCGGGTCCACGGGGGCTGCCGATGGTCGGGTACTTGCCGTTCCTCCGCAGCGACAGCCTCCACCGGCAGTTCGCGGACCTGGCCGAGGCCCACGGCCCAATCTACAAACTGAAGGCCGCCAACAAACCGATGATCGTGGTCAGCTCCCCGGCCCTGGCCAAAGAAGTCATCCAGGCCCACAAGTCCACATTCTCGACCCGCCTGGCCCCTGTCGTGGCGAAGATTTTTTCATACGACGGCAACGAAGTCGCGATGCTGCCTTACGGGCCGGATTGGGCCGCGATGCGGAAGGTCCTGGCCCGCGAGGTTATCAGCAACCAGGCCCTGGACGCGTGTCGTGCGCTGAGAGAAGGAGCGGTTTTGGCGGGAATACGGGAGATTCGGGCCGGCGAGCCGACGGGAGTGTTCGAGGCGGCGTTCAAGATGGTCGTCGATTCGACCCTGGCTATGTTGTGGGGCGGCGGCGGAAGCGAATCCGAGGGAGGAGGAGCGCCGATCTTTGCGGCGGAGTATCGGCAGGCGATTGGCGAGATGACGGTGCTGTTGGGGCGGCCGAATGTCTCCGACGCGTTTCCCCTGCTTACTAGGTTTGATTTGCAGGGGATTCAGGGGCAGGCGACCAAGCTCGCCAAGCGTTTCGATTGCATCATTACTTCTGTAATTGAACGACGGCTGAAAGATTTGGAGGGAAAGGAAGGAATGGTGTTCAAGGATTTGCTTCAAATTTTGCTGCAAGTTCAGGGCCGTGCAGATGCAACCGGGAGATTGCTGAGTGATTCGTTCCTTCATTTCAAAGGCTTGGTCTTGGTACGTAACCATTAATCATGTTTAATTCATTTGATTTCTACCGTTTATCACAATAGTTCGATTTCAATTATTTATAGTGACGAAGTCAAGGTTTCAAAAAATATGTGCCCTTTTCTTAGAATATAAATAAATAAAATTAAAAGTGAAATATGTGAATAGTTCGTTCATTCATAGATAAACAAGAAATAATCTTTAGGGGTCGTTTGGATGGGTCAATTGTCAATGAGGTATTTGTAGAGTAAAAAAAACTCATTTATTGTCATGTGGTATTTCAGTGTTATTTTAGTGGTAATTGAAATAAAGTATCTTGTTTGGTTGAACCATTCAAATGTGGTATTTGACATGTGGTATTTGGTAAAAGCAGAGTGATAAAACGAGTTATTTCGAAATAACACATGAGTATAAGTTATTTCAAATAACTCGTTTTGAGTTATTTGTAAATAACTCACTGTCCAAATAACTCATTTCAGTAAAACGCTGCCAAACGAATTATTTGCGTCCAAATAACTCATTGTGAGTTATTTGAACCCAAATAACTCATACAAATACTCCATCCAAACGACCCCTAAGTGTAGTGGTAGAATACTCATTCATTATTCAAAAGTCAAAGTTCAATACTTGATACACACAATTGGGATTTGTTTTTTCTACCTCAAATGCTTATTAATACACTTTCTAAAAAAATCCAATTGAGAAACACTTGAAGTTTGCACATATATAAGAATATTATGTGATTAGTAAAAAAGGTCACCAAAATTCAACGCAACACCTTTCGATTACAGAAGACTCTGATAAAATGTTTGAATAACTCGTTGATATGATCCATAATTGAACATCTCCTAATAACTCGAATTATTGGGATCAACTAATTCCTAACACGGTGACAGAGCCTTCTGTTAATGAAAAATCTACTTTTTGAATCGCGGCGAACTCTATTGTTTGTATTCAGACTTGTGCAAACAACAAACTTCAAGCTTGTTTGAGTGACCCGAGTTAGAGGGGGTGTGTAAGAAAGTGGTTAGGATCCATACATACGTGGACGTCTCCCAACAACTTGTATTATTTTGACAAATTGGTTTATGATACGCTACCAAAACTGATTTGTCTTTAACTGTTATAAACGCGCTGCTACGGATCGGGAAATCGCCGGAATCGATAAAGCAAGAATACGAAAGCGAGAATAGAAAAAACACACACACGATTTACTTGGTTCACTAACACGATGTGTGTTAGCTACGTCCACGCGCGAGAGAGAGCCAGTTTCACTATATCGAGGAGATTACAGATTACAGAGGAGTATGAGAAGTATTTATAGTACTTCTCCATGTGGGTCTAAACCTAATCTAATCTGGCAAAGCAAACGGTTACAGACCAGGCCCAGCACCCAACCCAAATAACATTGAGCCCATACACAGCGAGACCCCCGACTACCAGTCGTAGCGGCTGATAATCCGATTCAAGTCACATCAACATTAACATTTAACGTCACGTATTCAAATCCTCACGATCTCCAATATTAATCATTTTTCATTATTATAAATCAAATTGTATGATGTGTTTGTGGAAACTTTCAAACTTCTAAATTGATTTTCATTTAGAAAGGTAGAAAACAATAATTAAAATTCATACATAAATCTCTTCTAACCACTCCACTCTTTGACTGCATTCGTTTTAGAAATAAAAAGTCTAGCTAAAGGTAGTTCAGAATTAAGAAATAAGGGTGTTTTTTATTTTATTTTTGTATTCCTATCATTGTCATTGTTTTTGTTGGCATACAGGACGTAGCAAGCGGTGGCTCAGATCCAGCAACAACTTTAATCGAGTGGGCGATGACGGAGCTTCTAAACGACGAGAAAGTAATGACAAAAGTTGTACAAGAATTAGATCAAGTCGTGGGACCAAACAACGTAGTAGAAGAACATCATCTGAAAGAGCTTAATTACCTGAACGCCGTCGTTAAGGAAACTTGCCGGCTACACGTGGGGATCATGGCTCGGCTGGCGAGTCAACCCTGCACCGTCGCCGGCTACGCGGTTCCAAAGGGAGCTACAGTTTTCATCAACACTTGGGCCATACACCGAGACCCAGAGTTTTGGGCCGATCCGCTGCAGTTCAAGCCCGAGCGGTTTCTGGACGGCGGTGGAGATGGGCCCAGGCTGACTTTCGTGGGCAGCAGCTTTCAGTTCCTGCCGTTCGGTTCCGGGGAGCGGATGTGCGTCGGGTATAACTTGGCGGAGAGGCTCATGAACCATGTGCTGGCGTCGATGTTGCATTCGTTTGAGTGGAAGCTGCCGGCCGGCGAGGAGAAGCCGGATTTTTCAGACAAGTTCGGTCCGTTCGTGAAGAAGGAAAAGCCTTTGGTTGCTATACCGTTCCCCCGCCGGACGTGTAGTGTGTAAATGTGTAATGATTTGGAGCTGTGAAGTACAGTTGTAATAGAAACCATTCCTGTTTGTGTTGCCTAAACAATGGCCGGGCAAGTTTCCCTTTTAATAAGTCGGTAGAGAATGAAAGCTAGCCGAACTATGGCAATCAGGAGCTGTTGTTGTGATCTAACTCTTAAGTCCTATATATTTGAAGCGTGGATCCAATCGAACTAGGTTACACACATTTTTTCTGTTTTAAAAAATATATGTTGAATTACCATTTATCGTCTCTGAAATGAACAGGAAGATAGTGAACTCAACAACATCTTCTTTATTGAAATTGAATTGGAAAAATATTTTTTTATTTTTATAATGATGATACTAAATTGAAGGAAAAGAAAACTGAAACAATAAAGGTCCTGGTTCACAAGCGCTGAACCCAATGGATCTACATTGACTCGTAATTAGCAACCCTAAAATTACTTATTGAAATCAATAAACATTTCAACATATGCAATATTATTGTAAGTATATTTTCAGCTGCAATTCATGACTTTCTTTATCTTCGGCGATTTGAGATGACCACTAATCGAATGGAAACTTCAATGCCACAGATGGGGGATAATAAATTATTAGTAGATAATATCATAAATTATTAGTACACATTATGTACGTTACCCTAATCGTACTAAGTGATCCATACAAATTAAGTTAATTCATCTACAAAGACTTTGGAAGAATAATGCTATTGTAAACCAACTCGTGTTAGTAACTTGAGGTTCATATATGATATTTAACCATTGTCTTATACCTACCTTTAAATGAAATCCAACCCACGGATTTGAAGTTTGCAAAGACTTACCATAACATGTGTTTTAAAAACAACAATTAATAATGACGGTCATGATGACTTGAACACGTGACATAAACAAACCAGGTTTGATGACCATTGTTTCCTGGTAACTGAAAATCAGACCACTTGGACAGTCCGCTTGCCATCTACGGACTACGGTGGCTACTAGCTAGTGTAGTGGAAGCACTCAACAGTTTTTCCTTCAAAAATATTTTTATTTCTATCCCCTTCTTTTCTGTCCAATAAATGAACAACTCTAACCCTGTACTTCGTTACAATTTAATATTTGAGTTATAATATTCCTACCAACATTGGATGCAGATCCACATCTCAGTTATCACTTATCACCGCCTCGTAGAAGCAATCGTCAAAGTTTTTTCTCAGTCTACAACTCTAACCCGTCGCCGGTGAGCTTTTCCCCGCATGGCTACTTCCCTAATCTCTCCACTCACAGATGAGACTTCCGTCACATCACTGTTGACCATAACCATCGCAATCACAATATCCGCCGCCGTTCTCTACTTCCTCGGAAATCTCCGAAGAACCAAATCGCCGCCGGGTCCACGTGGGCTGCCGGTCGTCGGGTACCTCCCGTTCCTCCGCCGCAACGACCTCCACCGGCAGCTCACTTCCCTGGCCGAAACCCACGGCCCAATCTACACAATCCAGGGCCTCAACAGATCCCTGGTCGTGGTCAGCTCCCCGGATCTGGCGAAAGAGGTCCTCCGGGTCAACGAGTCCATCTTCTCGACCCGCCCGATCCCGATCGTGGGCCGGATCTTAACCTACGACGGGATCGACCTCGCGAACCTGCCGTACGGCCCCGATTGGGCCGGGCTGCGGAAGGTCATGTTCCGGGAGGTTCTCAGCAGCGGGGCCCTGGACACGTGTCACGCGCTGGGCAGGGGAGCGGTTGAGGCGGGGATGCGGGAGATTCGGGCCGGCGAGGCGACGGGGGTGTTCGATGCGGCGATGAAGGTGGTGGTCGATTCGACCCTGGCCATGTTGTGGGGCGGCGGCGGGGAGGGAGGAGGGGCGGCGCCGGATTTCGCGGCGGAGTATCGGGAGGCGACGAGGGAGATGACGGAGCTGTTGGGGCGGGCGAATGTCTCCGACGTGATTCCTCTGCTTGCGAGGTTTGATTTGCAGGGGATTCAGGGGGAGGCGGCGGCGGTTGCGGAGCGTTTCGATGGGATCATTACTTCGGTGGTACAACGACGGATGGATGATTTGTCTTCGGGGAAATTGGTGCCTTCTAAGGATTTGCTCCAGATTTTGCTGGAAATTCAGAGCCGGGAGGACTCTTTGATTGCCTCTTCGTCCCTCCACTTCAAGGCTATGATCCAGGTACGCCTGAGAGGATCAATTTTTTTTTTTTTTTTAAGAAACTGAGAGGATCATTATTGCCCTCTTTCCATAAGAACCATATAGCTGCTAGGAAAGATCACATTTAGTCGTTAATAGGGGTGATTATACGGTCCGTCTGGTTAAATTGGCCCGAATTGATTTATCCCAGTTCGGTCTTTTTAGGAATATAATGATCAAAGATTGGATTGGATACAGTTCGGTCTTGATCCGATCCGGTCCTAATTTTGTCTTGATTTTAGATTGAGCTTGTGGGGATTTGAGTTGCATGAGGACTCAAAGGGTGAGAAGTTGGTTAAGTTTTGGGTGTTGGACTCTCTTATCCGGTTTTCGATCCCGTTCCAAACGATTTTTTTACCTCAAATCTAAGCCCGAAGATTGGATTGGATTGTTTGCTATTCGGTTCCGGTCCCGATCCGAGTTATCTGGTCAGATTTCGGGTAAAACCAGATAGCCAGACCAAATAGTCAGCCCTACTTACTAGTAGGTTCTTCGACGGAGTTGACGGAGTTAGAAATTTGAATTAGTAGGGTTGATTTGAACAGTGATAATCAGGAGAGGGATTAAAAACTTATCGACTACTTTATTTTCTACATTTGTTATAAATTTTACATGTAGTTTATCTATATTTCAAATTCCAGTGAGACTACAGTCCCTCCTGCTTTCAACCTAGTTCCTCCGTTGAGTAGCTTTTTTTTTCTTCAATAAGATCCTATAATTATTCTTCACAACCATGATCCTCGCCCAACTGAAACAAGCTCCCCATAAAACTTTGTCTCCATATCCTTTCAGTCAGTCACGATTTCTAATTATGTGTTCTTGCATATTCGTTTTTTTAGTTAATGAGTTAACCGCTAACCAAATTGATAGTTACATCTTAAATTATTTAATACTTATCGATTCGGTTTACGATAATCAAATTTACCTTATCAGCTTACCACTACTTCTATTTACCGTTCTAACAATATTGATGATTGGCAGGACATTGCATCTGGTGGCACGGAGAGCATAGCCATCCTACTCGAATGGGCAATGACAGAGCTTCTAAGCAACAAAGAGGCGATGACAAAAATCCAACAAGAACTAGAGCTCATCGTCGGACCGAACAACGTCGTGGAACAACGTCATCTGAAAGAGCTGAACTACCTAAACGCCGTCGTTAAGGAGACATGCCGGTTGCACCTCGGACTCACCCCTCGACTGGCCGGTCAGCCTTGCACCATCGGCGGTTACCACATCCCAAAGGGAGCTGCAGTTTTCGTCAATACTTGTGTAGTGATCCTTAAATCATGACTTAAATAATTTAGGGATCACTTTGTAATTCCCCACTCTCCACGTTGCATGTGTTTAGGAGAGTTAGGGTTAGGTTTTTTGTTCCTTAAGTAGCTTCGGCTATTGTAGCTGCCGGCTTGTAACAGAGAACGAAAGGGAGAAATAAGATTTCAGCCCGAGAGCCTCAAGCTCTCCGTGGAGTAGTCTCGTTCACATCGAACGAGGAAACCACGTAAATCTCGTGTTTGTTTCTTCGCTTCCTTATCGTTCATCGAATTTTACATGGTATCAGAGCAGGTCTGATTCAACCTAGCTTTCAATATGTCTGACGACGAAACCCCGAAGACGTCGGGATCGAAACTGAAGTCGGCGGCTTCTGTGATCATGCCGTTGCCGCCGCATCTCCTTCTCCATCAGTCTGATAGCCCGAGTCATGTTTACGTCAGCGAGCTTCTCAGCGACGTCAACTACGGTGAATGGGTGGTGGATTTTACCGACTCTCTCATCGCAAAAAACAAGTTGTGCTTCGTGGATGGGAGCCTTCCCGCGGCGCAATCTCCGGCTGAAACTGAGGCGTTGAGGCAATGCAACGCGATGGTTAAGGGTTGGCTCAAGGCCTCCATGACAAAAGAAGTACGCAGTAGCGTGCGTTTTGCATCCACGGCGCGAGAAATCTGGGTGGATTTGCAATCCCGGTTCGGCCAAAGTAGTGCGCCGCGACTGTATGAGCTCAAAGGGACGATTGCCTCACTGCAGCAAGAGAAAGCGTCCGTTTCAGCATTTTACACCAAGCTGCGCGGATTGTGGGATGAAATCCAATCCCTCACGCCATCGCTCGAGTGCATATGCGGTGGTTGTAGCTGTGATGTTAAGCGCCGACAGCGCGAGGTACGTGAAAGTGAACGATTGTTTGATTTTCTGATGGGATTGGATGATGCTTTCTCGACAGTCAAATCGCAAATCCTGGCGATGAAACCCATTCCTAGTCTTGGCGAGGCGTACCAACTGGTGATGAACGACGCCCAACAGCGCCAAATCGCTAGCAACAGGCGTCCTAGGCCCGAAGCAGCCGCCTTCCAAGCTCAAGGGGAGCGCCGCCAGGAGCGTCCCGAGCGCTCTTCTCGGCCGGACAGGGAACCCGATGATCGGCCTAGAGATGATCGGCCTAGATGTGCTCATTGCCGACGGCGGGGCCACTCCAAAGAGTCTTGTTATCAGCTGATTGGATATCCACAGCGTGGAGCTGCCAGAGCTGACAATGATCGCGGATCATCCCGCGGTGATCGTGCACCACGCGCATCTCCACAGGCGGCTCAGGTCGAGACAACAACGAGCCCACTCCCAGGCTTGTCTGCAGCACAATTCGCTGCCCTCAAGGCTCTGCTAGGCTCGGACATTGCTCATCCACCAGCAGCCTCGGTCGAACCCTCTTCCAACATGGCTGGTACGTTTTCTATTCCAACTATAAATTCGGCAACATGGGTTATAGATTCTGGTTGTTACGAGCACATAGTTAATGATGCTTCCCTGTTGAATGCCGAGTTGGATACTTCTCCAACGTTGCAGGTGAAAATTCCCAACGGTACAGGAGTTAAAGTCCACAGTATTGGTTCGGCAAAATTGTCGAATGATTTATTATTGCGTCGGGTTCTACATGTTCCTGCCTTCCAGTGCAATCTACTCTCGGTTAGCCGGCTTACAGCAGAACTACCAGTAGCATTGATTTTCTTGCGTGACTTCTGTGTAATTCAGGACTTACTCTCGAGGAGGCTGATTGGGATGGGTAAACATGTGGATGGCCTCTATTATCTCAGCTTGTTCGACGACAATCACCCCATGGCAAATACCGTGCGCCGAACGCTTGATGAGTCAGAGATATGGCATTCCCGGCTTGGACATCCTTCCCTTGTGAAGATGAATTTATTGCAGAACACTCTTGGTCGCTCTTTTATTCATACTGCAGACCCTTGTCGCTCTTGTTTGCGTGCTAAGCAAACTCGTGACGTTTTTGTTTCCAGTACTATCAAGTCCACTTCGTGTTTTGAACTGATTCATGTGGATATTTGGGGGAGTTATAAGACTGCTTCAACCTCTGGAGCTCACTATTTTTTGACTATTGTCGACGATTACAGTCGTGCAGTTTGGGTGTTTTTGATGAAATATAAGTCGGATGTTGGTCGTCATTTATTATATTTCTGCAACATGATAGCTACTCAGTTTGGAGGACAGGTACGGCGCATCCAGGCTGATAATGGACCCGAATTTGCCACTAATACGTTGATGACGTACTATGAAGAGAAGGGAATCGTTCTTCAGACTTCCTGCACTGACACTCCTCAGCAGAATGGGGTCGTGGAGCGTAAGCACCGGCACTTGCTAGACACTGCCCGAGCATTGCGATTTCATGCTAACTTGCCCATCAGATTCTGGGGAGAGTGCGTTCTCACAGCAGCCTATCTCATTAACAGGATGCCGTTGGTTTCGATCGGGAACAAAACACCCTATCATGTTCTCTTCCGCAAGGATCCTGTGTACAGTCATCTTCGTAGTTTTGGTTGTCTCGTGTATGCTCGGGATAATCACCATGGCCTTCACAAGTTTGGCGAAAGGGGGAGAGCAGGTGTTTTCATGGGCTATCCTTCTGGTCAGCGGGGTTATCGCGTGTATGACCTCGAAACAAAGCAGATTTATACATCTCGGGATGTCAAATTCATCGAACATGTTTACCCCTTCCATGAGAACTGCGAGGCAGCTCTTAGTCCTGCTGCGATCTCGGGGCCTCGGTTCATGGCTACCCCTGCTGCGGATTCCGACGGTGACATTGCTCAGCCCGAGGTCGCGTCCACTCCACCGCCTGCCGCTGCACCTGCCACTGATTCTCCCGCCGCGGTTGCTGTCCCTCCCACCGAGACTTCACCGGTTCATGACTCCGCGACCAGCTCTGGTGGTGAGGCCCCTCTTGAGCCCGACGCCGCAGCGACTCCACCTCCTGCACAGCCCATCCTTCGTCGCGGTGATCGTGTCCGCCGCCCCTCTACTCGTCTGGCTGGTTATGACGTCGAACTACCTGGCATGGCTCACTCCGCCACGACATTATATCCCCTGGAAGACTATCTCAGTTATCATCGTCTTTCAGTGGCTCACCATGCATTTGTTGCCGCGGTTACGGCCATTGATGAGCCCAAGTATTTTTTCCAGGCCGTTCGTTACAAGCAGTGGCGTGATGCCATGCAGGTCGAGATCTCTGCTTTGGAAGCCAATGGCACCTGGACCTTGGTTTTCCTTCCTCCGGGGAAGAAGGCGATCGACTGTAAATGGGTTTACAAGATCAAGTTCAACCCGGATGGCTCCATTGAGCGCTATAAAGCGCGGCTTGTTGCTAAGGGCTTCACGCAAGTCGAAGGTGTTGATTTTCACGACACATATGCCCCGGTTGCTAAGCTGGTCACAGTCCGCTGCCTTCTCACCATTGCTTTGCACCGCGGATGGCACATCCATCAACTCGACGTCAACAATGCCTTTCTTCATGGTGATTTGGAGGAAGAAGTTTATATGAAAATCCCACCAGGTTTCTCGCGTCCTGGTGAGACCAGAGTATGTCGCCTAAATAAATCCCTCTATGGTTTGCGACAGGCCTCTCGGAATTGGTACCAGAAGTTTACACAGGCATTAGTCGAGCTCAACTTTGTGCAGAGCCGAGCTGATCATGCTTTGTTTGTCTATCGGCGCGGATCCATTTATGTGGTTGCTCTCATTTATGTTGACGATGTGGTCTTGACAGGGAATGACCTCTCGTTCATCCAGCAGGTTAAGACCTTCCTCCATGATCGCTTCACTATCAAGGATCTCGGCCCTCTTAAGTATTTCCTTGGTATTGAAGTTGCACGATCACCGAAAGGTATGGTTCTTAACCAGAGGAAATATGTGTTGGACATTCTCACTGATGCCGGCTTAACTGCAGCTCGTCCGTGCTCCACTCCGATCGAGCAGCAACATCGCCTGGGTCGTGATCCTTCTCCCCCAGCACGTGATCCCGTTGCTTACAGGCGTCTGGTTGGTCGTCTGCTATATCTGACAGTTACACGCCCTGATATTGTTTATGCAGTCAATATCCTTAGCCAGGCAATGCAGTCTCCCACTCAGGCTCACGAAGATGCTGCTGTTCGTGTTCTTCGGTATCTGAAAGGGTCTCCTGGCCGTGGCATATTTCTCTCTGCCACTTCTCCTCTTACATTGACTGGTTTTTGTGATGCAGATTGGGGTGGTTGTCCCAACACTCGCCGTTCCACCACAGGGTTCTTTATCACGCTTGGGGGTTCTCCTGTCTCTTGGCGCACCAAGAAACAGACTGTCGTTGCACGTTCGTCTGCCGAAGCAGAGTACCGAGCTATGGCCAGCGCCGTTAGTGAGATAGTCTGGTTGCGGTGGCTTCTTTCCGATCTCGGCGTTCCACCCTCTGGTCCCACCGTGCTGTATTGTGACAATCAGGCAGCTCTTCACATTGCAGCTAATCCGGTGTTCCACGAGCGCACTAAGCACGTCGAGATGGATTGTCACTTTGTTCGTGAACGGGTTTTGTCCCGCGAGATCGCTCCAGCTAAGATTGCCACTTCCGACCAGCCAGCTGATTTGTTCACGAAGGGATTGAGTGTTGATCAGTTTCATCATCTCTTCGTCAAGCTCGGACTTCTTGACATTCACTCCTTCGCTTGAGGGGGAGTGTAGTGATCCTTAAATCATGACTTAAATAATTTAGGGATCACTTTGTAATTCCCCACTCTCCACGTTGCATGTGTTTAGGAGAGTTAGGGTTAGGTTTTTTGTTCCTTAAGTAGCTTCGGCTATTGTAGCTGCCGGCTTGTAACAGAGAACGAAAGGGAGAAATAAGATTTCAGCCCGAGAGCCTCAAGCTCTCCGTGGAGTAGTCTCGTTCACATCGAACGAGGAAACCACGTAAATCTCGTGTTTGTTTCTTCGCTTCCTTATCGTTCATCGAATTTTACAACTTGGGCCATCCACAGAGACCCGCAGAATTGGGCCAAACCGCTGCAGTTTCGGCCCGAGAGGTTTCTGGACGGTTGTGAAGATGGGCCGAGGTTTGATTTCATGGGCAGTAGTTTCCAGTTCCTGCCGTTCGGATCCGGTCGGCGGGTTTGCGTCGGGCTTAACCTGGCAGAGAGACTGATGAAATATGTGCTGGCGTCGATGTTGCATTCCTTTGAGTGGAAGCTGCCGGACGGCGAGGAGAAGCTCGATTTTTCGGATAAGTTGGGGGTGGTCGCGAAGAAGGTGAAGCCTTTGGTTGCTATACCGTTCCCCCGCCGGCTGGGTAAATTGGTTGGGCTGTGAAGTTCAATTATAACATCATCTAGACCAGCTTTGTATTTGCCTAAACAGTGCCCAAGAAAGTCTTCTTCATTGTACTCATAGGTCAAAATTGTGGTTTGAATGTTAAAAATTTATGTTTTAATACTTCTAGGTTACAAAAACGAATCTACATATAATCACATTTTTTATTGTTCTCAACTCCCAATACCTCGAGATACTAATTTAGCAATAAATCGATATATGAGCAATATAAAGTGAAACGAATAGTTTTGTGCAATTCGAATTCAGAATCTAGTTCCAAATGCTCTTTAAAAGATCAGTCAATTGTGAAATCAGAATATAGTCCACGAAGAATCATATAGCTGCTAGGAAAGATCACGGTTTCTCATGACTGGAGAAGTCGAAAATTTGAATGATTGAGAAAATTTTGAACCGACATAATTGGAGAAACCAATGGGGCTAAGACCTTACTAATTACTATATTTCCAAAATTTGTTATGAATTTTTCATGTGATTTTGACTATATTTTAATTTTGAGGTGAACTTACCGTTCCTCTTGTCTCAACCTAACTCCTCCACTAAGTAGCTATTCTTCAATAGATCACATAGTCATTCTTCACAACCACGATTCTCACCTACTCGAAACAATCTTACTATTAAATTCTGTATCCAAATCTTATTTGTCCGGTCACATTTTTGTATTGTGTTGTTCTTGTGTTACTATCAACCCACAAAATGGACACTCGTTATAAATATGTTGATTCATCACATTCTTGACCTGCCCGATTCCTCATAAAACGCTATATCTTTGGGGTATATCAGATCATATCATACTCCTCAAGTACTTCAGTTCCCTCTTTGTCTCCTCCTGCTAGTTTATTCAGCCACACATGATTTTAATGTATGTACTAGAATTGCAAATGAGTTGAGTCAGATCAGGTTTTGACCTAACTTAAACTCAACTTTATAATCAAAATTATGAACTGGGATGTTAATTATTAGCTTCCATTTCCTCTTATCCCAATCTATCAGTTAAACTATTTCTCATTGTTGATCTTATTCTTTCTCTTGCGTATTCTTAATTCTAGTATATCAAAAAATTCCAAATAATATTTTGAAGAAATCCAATATTCAAATCAATGAATAGAATCACTCCACAAACCGGAGATTGTACTATTTTCGACAAGTCTATGTTGTGAGAATAGTGAAAATGAAGGATATCAAACCACAAATCGTTGAAACAGATTGATTGGAGGCGAGTTCTAAACTAAACCGGCCAAACAAATATTTTTTCGAAGTGGTGCGATACGACCCGAGGCTCAGAGATGGAGAAGGTGGAGTGGACTTTTTGTCAAGAAAATTGTAATAGAGTAGCTCACATGAGAACCCATACAAATTGTCACTGGAATACTGAGAAACTTTGCGCCGATAGATCACCTATCTTTATGTTTCTGCTGTTAATTTTGGATGATAACATTGTTATAAGCGCTTAATAAAAACATACATGTGTTTCTATAAAAAAAAAATTACTCCAGACATATCTATAGTTACATTTTTTTTATTTATAAAATCTATAGTTACAAATAGTAATATGTGATGTTTGCTACCCACTGGAAATTCACGTTGCGTATTAAACGAGTCATTCAATATTATTTTTCTTTTGGATTAGTAGTTGGAACACATTTTCACCAAAAAAAGTTGTTGGAACACATCAATCGACACCTTTTCATTTAACTATAAGTTGACTTGGTGATTGTTACACCCAAAGTATTGTAAGTACATATTTCAATTGACATATGTATTTTAACTTTGGCAAGTCGTCTGATATTCCATAAGACTAGTACTAACTACTAAGGGAAGATAATTTACCGTAGGAGAATAAATGAATTTGGATCCCAACGATTAAAAAAAAAAAATATGGATCCCAAGTGGACTCGTCAAACAATCTACACAATAAATAAAAGCCAAATGAGAAAACTTGAAGCCTCATTTCAAATTTCCTGCATCCAGAGTGAAAGTAGGAAGGGCAATTTGGTCATCACAATTACTTTTATTTTATTCATTAAAAAGACACTTACTAGGATTTGAACCATGACCACTTTAAAGAAAAGCAAAGATCATAACCAATCACACTAAGTACATTTGTTGTATCTTTTTAAATTAAAAAGATATATTCGCATAGAGGAAAAAACCCTTTCCCCATTTCAAATTTCCTGCTCCATGAGCGTTTGTAGGAAGGGTAGAATAGGGAGTGTCAATTTTTTTATTTTTCCTCTGTGGAACGGGTCAACTTACCGCGCACATGCGGATTTAAACGGGTCCAGGAGTGTCAATTTTTTTCTTTAAGTCCTTTTATTTCTCCATGGTGGTAAAATTATATGAGGCAAAAACAATACTCCTTTTTATTGCTAAAATGAAAAAAAAAATTAACCATAAACTAATGCATAGATTCTAATGGGCTAACCGCTAATCATAAAATAAAAGAGTTGAATAGGCCTGACCTACACGGGATTTGCCCATCAAGTAAAACAAATGAACATCATGGGTTCGTCATTCTAAAACAAGCTATTTTCTCTAGCATAATATATATTATGCTATTATTTTATATCTTAGTGGCTAAAATATAATGTATTTTAAAGTTATTCAATGGTTTAACCTCGACCAACCCAATTAGTCCAATTTTTATCATTTCAAATATATATTATGTAATTATTTGATATCATAAAGATTAAATTATAGTGTATATTATAGGGAATCGTTTGGTATTTGTTAGTAAAAAACTAAACAGAAATATCTATTTGGTTATTTTTAACATTAAAACGATCCTAAACATTTTCAGTTTCCTTTCGAAATTCTATAGTTTTATTTCCGAATTAGTAATGTGCAAATGGCGAATTGCAGTCATCTCTTTTCTTTCATTATTTTTTATTTTCAAATAGAAAGTTTAAAAGTAAAGAATAATTAGAGTTTGGCATGGGTCAGTCAAACAGGCTGAATTTCAAGTTTTGGCCCGTTTTGATCAAGTCTAATTTATAATCACATGGTTCCCTGATACCCGATAAAAATCTCAATCCAAACTAGTTTGGCAGGTGAGTCCGTGTTTACCACCATTCTCTAGGGATACAAGAACGGTGGTTCCTATCCCAAATCGTGTTGTTCATTCTTGATTTCTTTAGATTTTATCATGGCTTGGCAAAAAACCAGAAAGCACAATGATGACAAGATGAAAGTTTTATAAAGCAAATTAATCGGTCAACAGGCCGAGTAAAAGCTAGCAACGATTGTGAGATGCTCATTTTCCGAAAACCGACGGGATATGTGATTTTTTATTCAATTTTCTGGAATTCGGTTTCTATAAAACTTACTCCACCTCATCATATTACAAGAAACAATATTGTTTCACAAGGTAACAGATACTTGATTTTGGTTCATAAGGCTGATTTTTGATTCGTTGCATCATTCATGTCTCTTTCCTACTAAAATTCACTATTTTTATCACGTGTTTCCCAAAAAAAAACTATACAACAATAAGCTATACACCCCATTACATTATCAAATTTCATACCTCACCTTCCTCCGGCCAAATGGCCGGGGCCCACGCTAGTATAAATATATAATGTCAATGAGACCAATTTTCAGATACAGATTGATTTTGTATATGTTAAACCTATAAGTGTAGTTTGTTTTATTTTTGCATGAAAATGTATTTCATAAAAATTTAAAATGTATCATAACTTTAAATGTATAAGTTCAGATTGTGTCATAGTATTTTTTGTATCTAAAAATAAAACACAACTTAATTTTATATCATAACACTAAAGATACAACTTCAATTTGTACCGTACTTCTTTTAAACTAAAGTACCAATACTAGCCAACATGTAATATAAATATCTTACTAGTGGCAGATTCCTTCTATATATATATATTTTTTTTTGAACCAGTGATTCCTTCTATATTTAAACCCCGGGGAATGTCAAGTGTCAACAGTCCATAGAATTTCACAATCGGCAATTCCATCTAATTCCTCGAAATCAAAATTTGGCAGGTTTCTATGGCCACTTTCCTAGTCTCTCTACTCAAGGACGAGACTTCGGCATCACTTTTCACCATATCCATCGCAATATTGGTATCCGCCGGCCTCTACTTCCTCACGTATCTCCGTACACCAAATTCGATGCCGGGTCCACGGGGGCTGCCGATCGTCGGCTACATGCCGTTCCTCCGCCCCAACCACCTCCACCGCCAATTCACGGCCCTGGCCCAGGCCCACGGCCCAATCTACAAAATCCAAACGCCGAGCAAGTTGCTGGTCGTGGTCAGCTCCCCGGCCCTGGCCCGAGAAGTCCTCCGGGCCAATGAGTCCACATTCTCGGTCCGCCCAACCTCGATCGCGGTGAAAATCCTCGGTTACGGTGGGATGGAAGTCGGGACGCTGCCGTGGGGCCCCGATTGGGCCGGGCTGCGTAAAATCCTGGTCCGCGACGTTTTGAGCAACCGGGCCCTCGACACGTGTCGCGCCCTGAGGGAGCGGGCGGTTGCGGCGGGAATTCGAGAGATTCGAGCCGATAGCGTCGGCAAGCCGACGCGGGTGTTCGATGCGGCGTTCAAGTTGGTTGTGGATTCGACTCTGGCGATGCTGTGGGGCGGCGGCGGTGGAGCTGATTTCGCGGCGGAGTATCGGGAGGCGACGAGGGAAGTGTCGCAGCTGATGGGGCGGCCGAATGTCTCCGACGCGTTTCCTCTGCTGGCCATGTTTGATCTGCAGGGGGTACAGAGGGAGGCTGCGGAGCTGGCGGCGCGTATGGATGGGATGATTAGCTCCGTGATTGAACGGCGGTTGGGGGATTTGGCGGGGAAAAAGGGAACGGCGTCCAAGGATTTGCTCCAGATTTTGTTGGAAGTTCAGGGTGGCGGCGGCGACTTGTCGACGGGATCGTTGATCGCCTCGACCTCGTCCGTTCACTTCAAAGGCTTGATTTTGGTACGTTCCCATCATTTTTTTTTTTTTTTTATAATTTCCAACTTGACTTGTCCTACGAGATTTGTCTGGTCTATTTTGAGAAGCATAAACATAAGTACCCGTTACGATCTAATCTGTCGTAGCCCGCTTAATTCTCGACCTTTTATCCTGTTATAGTTTGTTTCTCAATTTTGCAATGAAGAAATAGATGTTTAAAGTGTTTTATTTAAAACTATATACTCAATTACTCATATGAGTTGACTTTATTAAAACCACAGTTCAAAGTAAAACATCCGATATGCCACGGAATCTATATGAATATCCATCCAATTTGTCCATTGTTTATCTAGATTGATGTAAAATATGTAAAATAAAAACAAAAGGTGATGATTTACAAAGGGATAATAAAAAAATTTAGTAAGGGAGGAATTTAAAGTCCATTTGGGTTATGCATTATTACAAAGAAAATGAATGGGATAAGTAATTATTATGAAGTATCAAACTTCAAATCTCATCCATGTACATTATTATTATTAATTTATTATTCACATACAGGATATAGCAGGTGGTGGCACAAATACAACAGCGATGTTAATCGAGTGGGCGATAACAGAGCTTCTAAACAATGAAGAGGTGATGATAAAAGTAGTGCAAGAACTAGACCGGATCGTAGGGCCAAAGAGCCTTATGGATGACCATCATCTCAAAGAACTTAGCTACCTAAACGCCGTCGTTAAAGAGACTTGTCGGCTGCATCTAGCGATGGTAGCTCGCGTTGCAGGTCAACCCTGTACCATCGGCGGCTACTCAATTCCGAAAGGAGCTACAGTTCTCATCAACACTTGGGCCATTCACCGGGACCCACAGCTCTGGGCCGATCCACTACAGTTCAGGCCCGAGAGGTTTTTGAACGAGGTTGAAAATGGGCCCAGGTTTAGTTTTACGGGCAGTAATTTTCAGTACCTGCCGTTCGGATCCGGACATCGGGTTTGCGCCGGGCTGAACCTGGCAGAGAGGCTCATGAACTACGTGCTGGCGTCGATGTTGCATTCGTTTGAGTGGAAGCTGCCGGACGGCGAGGAGAGGCCGGATTTTTCAGATAAGTTCGGTCCGTTCGTTAGGAAGCAGAAGCCTCTGATTGCCATACCATTCCTCCGGCCGGGGAGCGGATTAGCGTGATGAGTACAACTTTGTGTATAACTACCTATATTAATTTTAATTTAATACGTATATTGAGATGGAAGCTTAACCATGGTACCTGACCATACATGAGTTAGCCTCCTTCTCAATTAAAAGCCGACGTGATGAACATAGTTGATGTTTGCGGGAAGAAGTCAATGATCTATCTTAAGCCTAACCAAATCGGTTTACCACTCAACTAATTAAACAACTAACTAGTGATGGCAATTTGAACCCGCCTCGCGGGTATTATCCGACTTGACCCGCAATGAGGCGGGTATTATCCGACCCGCAATAGTGTGGGGTGAAGGCAGTGGCGGACCCAGTATTCTCGTACAGGTGTGACGATCGATAAAATAATAAATAAAATTTAATTATATTTTAATGGGAAACATAATGAGAAGTGAGATCGAAAGAAGTAAAGAGAACACTAGGGTTATTTTCTAAGATAGATAATAATAAAGAGCGGTAGTCCATATGCAACCGGACTCCCGATGAAAGAGCATTTTTTTTACTAGGTGGACAACTATGTGAAAACTACAAGAACCAAGAAGAAACAAAACTTATTTAGGTAGAGAAAAAGGAGAAAACTTCCTTACGATTACCCCTGCCTAAGACCTAAGAGCAATTAATCATTGCGTCTAGATGCTTAAGCAATGGAAAGAACCCCAAATTTGTCATAAGTTAAATAAAATTTAAAATAAATAATATATTTACGTATTTTGGGAACTTTATGACACCAATTTCATCATAGTGTATTGAAGGTGTGTCGGAAGTCTTAAATTCCAAAAACTTATACCGACAAAACATGGATCTCTTACAAAATATTCGGGCAGAGGTGTGTCGCTTGACACACCTCCCTAACACATGGGTCCGCCCCTGGGGCGGGGCATGGGTATCCACTTTTGACCCGTCCTGCCCCAACCCCGCATATTTCTTAATTGTTCATAACTTATCTAGTTTGACTTGATCTATCCTAAACCAGCGATGAACGTGAACATAATTTACGGGGTTAACAACTTAACATGAGAACTAAATATTATGTCATACCGTTGATATATCTTTAATAACTTTGGGACAAAAGTTGATATGCTTTAAGAAGATAATTTATATAAATTTCAATGCTTGATTATTAGAATGAATGAATGATTTACATTATTCCATTAGAATTCTATTTTATGTGATTAATCATAATATTTTGTTTCAAACAAATTCATCAATGATGTAGGACTCTGAAATTTGAATTTATAATTTATCAATTGTTTTTGTTTTTTGTTTTTTCCCCTCTTCCTTCGAGTCCTCATTTGTTGCAAATAACTACTGGAGGTATTTAAGAGTATTCCCCCCCCCCCCCCCTCCCTCCCTCTAAATGACCATCATTTTTTATTAAAATGTGCTATCCTGATTATATGGTCAAACAAAAAAGCAAGTCAGTTAGTGTTTTTTTTTTTTCTTTTCCCTTTTTTAGGTTTTTGCTTTGGAGGCGGGGCTGCGCCTGATTCCTGTCGTTTTCTTCTCATCCATCATGATCTCGTTATTCATGGAGACTTTTTTTTTTTTTCATTTGGCTCTTGGGGAGGTTGAAACCAAAAACATAATAGAGTTACATGGAAGAAGAAGAAGAAGAAGAAGAGACAGTTACTCGTGTCGAATGTGACATTGGCAAATTGTGATCACGTAGGGTTGGGAGTTACCAGGGGCTTGCTGCGATGGCGTTGTTTGTGGTGGCGGTGGGGGAAACGGACGGAGAGGAGAAGGGTAAATAGCCAGCAGCAAATGTCGGCACCATTATGAATTTTCTAAATGAAAATATGAAATGGGGTAGAAATGAAAATTTTGATGAATATCCGTCCAATATGTTACGAATCAACTTTGATTTTTTTTTTTATTTGGTTTTACTCCTCGATTGAATCGATTTGCCCCTCGCTATATTATATTCGCATTTTTTTAAGGATAACCTCTTCTTTGTTTCGCATTGTGCTAAATCGTGAATGCAAAGTGGGATCGCATTCTTGTATCCCCTCCTGGCGGATCACTATTTACAAATTTCGCATATTCATGGAGACAGGGCCGGCCTAGAGGGTGTGCTGGCCCGCCCTCCACAGGGCCTCTAAATTATGGGGCCTTCGGACCTCCATCGTGTATATGACTCATTATTATTACGGATTATATGTTTCGATTATGAATTTAGAACGATAGGAAATTTATGAATTGTTTTTTTTATTATGGGTCTAAAACAATAATATTAAAAAATTTAAGTGTGAAGGCTAAAGGAACGAATGGATCACATGAGGAGAATACTTGCTTTCTTATTAGACTTTTTCCAAACCATATAACATAACTTATTTTTTATTGTGTGTTTACTAAACATAATAAAAGAGATAAGATTGTTGATGCCTGGTTATTAGCATTGTTATATTTGTTTCTTTAATTTCTTCATTTTCAGCTTTACAAGAGGAAAAATAATTCAATTTCATCAATTAACATGTTTGTACTAGCAAGACAGTAATGCTAAATTAATTAAATAATCCACATTTTTTTATAAACGGTAACCGGGATAATTACGTACAAGCCACCAATAGTAGAAAGAAAAATAACTAAATTAATTATAAATAGTTTGTACCATGCTTAACTTTAGTTTTAAAAAAAATTATCAGTTTCTCCTATCTAATTTAGTTTACTTATTTTTTATCCTATTGATTTGTTCTAAAATTATTTTTTCATCTTGTACTTAATTAAGTTCTCATTACCTATTCAGACGAGTCTAGCTAGTTAATCGATTCATTGTCATTTACTATTTTAATTTTTTTTATTTGATCTCTCAAATAATCAAAAAAAAATTATTATATATTTACAAAAATATTTTGGTACACATTTTGTTTTCCGAACACGGCCTCCAAAATCTTAGGGTGGGCCCTGCATGGAGACTATCTTCATTTGGTTCTTGGAGAGGCTGAAACCAAAAATACAGAGTTACATGGGAAAAGGGGAAGAGACAATTACTCAGATCGAAAGTGATGAGTACTACTCGGCCATTACATTAACCACAAACATACGAGAATCATATTTAGCTTGCGATCGAGATGGATTTATTAGTCCGTACTTACATCAGAGAAAAATTATAATCGTATTTCAAAGATCATTTCACCCCTTTGATCATTTTATGTCACCGCATGTCTAAGTATGGTATAATATACTAACCAATCAATCTTGAACTAACCAGATGATTGTTCAAATAAAAATTGAGAAACCAACCAACAAACCAACCTTTACAACATTGACGATTTCTAAAAACTGTCAAACGAATCTCAAACGTCTACTTAATTATATCTAAGAGTTAACAAAAATGTCACGACTCACGACCGTCTTTTGTTGTATATCAACTGGACTCTTTCCCGATAGCATCTACAGTAGGCAGACGAAGGAGCATCAAAGATCCCTCCCTTTGTCTTTTTTCTGCCTCCACGCCCTTCATATAGGCCACAAACCTCCCAACAACAGAGCTCATCATTATCCCACAACAACAACAACAAACAAACACGTGTCAAAAGTCAACCATGGTTCTCAACTTCCTATTATCCCGCATGCTCCATTCTTTCCGCGCATGCTACGCCGCCGCCACGTCAAAAGGAGACATCAGCGCCAACTACTTCCTCGTAACAGCCATCCCTCTCCTGCTGTCGACGGGGCTCCTCCTTTCCCGCTTCCTCAGAAGAAAGCAGCGGGCCCCACTGCCTCCCGGTCCGACCGGGCTGCCGCTGGTCGGTTACCTCCCTTTCCTCGGGACCCACCTCCACCGCGAGTTCACCGCTCTCGCCGCCACCTACGGCCCCATCTACTCGCTCCGGCTGGGCAGGAAGCTTTGCATGGTGGTCAGCTCCTCCTCCCTGGTCAAAGAGATCGTCAGGGACCAGGACGCCATCTTTGCCAACCGCGACCCTCCCATCTCCGCCGTGGTGCTGACCTACGGCGGCGATGACGTGGCATTCTCGAACTACGGCCCACTCTGGAAGAAGCTCCGAAAGGTTTATTTTTATAGACGACCCTTTCGTAATTTTTTTTAATTGTCCTGATTTTCTATCGAAAGTCTTAACTAATTTATCAAACGGAAATCTAACGAACTTGAAATTTGTACACGATCGTCATATTTTAAGTTTAGTGAAAGATAAGAATGTAACATTTATTGTCACATCCTAATTTTCGGTCGAAACGTTTTAATTGATTTTCAAACGAAAATTTAACCCTCGTTTAAGTTGAATTTTGTACATGATCATCATATTTAAGTTTAGCGATAACTAGTACGAGAACTGGTGGATTCGCTAACGAATCTTATAATACTTACGTACGAACAATTTGTTATTTTCTTTGTTTTGTTCATCAGGTGTTTGTGAGGGAGATGTTGGGTGGCGCGAATCTGGAGGAGTGCTACGGGCTAAGGAAGCAGCAGGTGAGAAGCTCCGTCAAAGAGGTGCACAAGAGATGTTCCGGCGGGGAAGCGATGGATTTCGGCGAAATGGCGTTCAAAACGACGACGAACGCCATGCTGAGCATGTTGTGGGGAGGAGTGGCCGGGGACGACGAGGGCTTCTACGGCGAGTTCAGGGAGCTGGAGTCGGAGATGTTGGTGTTGATGGGAACGCCGAACGTGTCGGACTTTATTCCGGCGCTGGCCAGGTTTGACTTGCAGGGGATCGAGAAGAAGTCCAAGAAGTTGCTCGACAAGTTCGACGAGATTCTGAGCTCGGTGATCGAGGAGCGGTTGAGGGCGGTTGAGAAGAGGGGAGGCAACGGGAGGAAGGATTTCTTGCAGGTGTTGTTGGATTTGAATCGCAACGGTGGCAGCGACGGTGAAAGCTATGTTACTACCAATCAAGTCAAAGCTCTGCTTATGGTAAGGTTTTTGAGCGTTGAATTTTATATCACTCTTTTACGTGGGTTTTTTTACACCGTAAGTTAGGTTATGCAGAAGCTGAACTAGTTTAAAGTTTACACACTTAAATAGATTATAGTCATTAGTATCATAGTATGATTGAATTGGTTCGCTCGATTGATGAGCTAATTGATTCCTTGTGAATAAATAAACAACAGCAGTGGTATGGTAACGTGCATGCATAAAGATTAAAGCGAACCGTCATGCAACTTGCATTTATATATATACTATAATAATAATGACATGATTAGTTGTTTTTATATTGTTTTAATGCCTTCTCAGTTATCATAATGACCTTACTGATTAAACAAATGGGTTATAGGTATAATATGCTCCTACTATAACGTTTTTATCAAACATGCCCCTCTACTATTTTTTACATCAAATATGCCCCTGTACTTTGAAAAAATTATCAAACATGCCCTTTTGTTAAAATTTCCGCTGAAAAAGTCGTCAATCATGGTTGAATTGAGATTTAGGCGACCCGACATCGACAAATGGGAGGGGAAATGTCAGTTTTGTCTCCTGTTTTATTTCCCTGGGTCTTTTTAAAGTGAAATTATTTGAATGATTTGATTATACAAAAGAACCAAAAAGATTCTAAAGTGAATTTATTAGGGATATTTTAGTCATTTGTGTCGCCCAAACTAAAGTCGGCGTTGGTTAACGGTTTTTGGATTAAAATTTTAACAAAAGGGCATGTTTGATCATTTTTACAAAGTACAGAGGCATGTTTGATGTAAAAAATAGTAAAGGGGCATATTTGATAAAACGTCATAGTAGAGGGGCATATTATACCTATAACCCTAAACAAATTATAGGGGTTCGCTAATACTTAATAAGTATTAAGTACAATTAGAGAAGCTGGCAAGGATGAGAACATATATGGGTTAGCTTAGAAAAATTGTATCAATTGATGTGTCCGTTTCTTCCGAATATGGGACCATATATACTTAACACTCTCATGAAAAATGAAAGACTAACAATTAATATTTGCAAAATCATATCGGATGTCGATAAAGAAACTCGGAGCATAAATCGACACACCATTTTAGCGGTATGAAATAATTAAATACCATTTTAACACAAAATATCCCATCACTATCTAACTCTATTTTCCGGTAATTATTGTATTCTTATTATAGCTCCAGCTTTTGGCCAGATATGGCCAAAGCTTCTTCTGTCGAAAAAATACAAAAGCTGTATCAACAGCAAAAACAAACTAATTAAGGCACAGACACTACCTCACTACGTACTCTTTGACTTCCTACCTCCCCATTTACAGTATGAGAACCACACTATTATTTACAAGATAACCACTAACTTTTTCGGAACAACTTACGAAACCGTTTCAAAATTATTGGTAAAATCACAAACGTAATTGATCGATTGATTGGAGTTTATTCCAACAGGACATTTTGGTGGGTGGCACAGACACAACGTCGACCATGTTGGAGTGGACGATGGCACAACTGGTCAAACATCCAGACGCAATGTCCAAAGTCTACAAAGAACTCAACGAAATCGTCGGCCAAAACGACATCGTCGAGGAATCTCATCTCCCCAACCTAACCTACCTGGAAGCCGTCATCAAGGAGACGTTTCGAATCCACCCAGCACTGCCTCTGCTAGTGCCACGCTGCCCCAGCAGAACGTGCGAGCTGGGCGGCTACACCATCCCCAAGGGCACGATCGTCTATCTCAACGCCTACGCCCTCCACACCGACCCACAACTCTGGGAAGACCCTCTGGAGTTCAAACCGGACAGGTTCCTCAGCGTGGAGGACGACACGAAGTTCGATTTCCAAGGGAACAACTTCCAGTTCCTTCCGTTCGGATCTGGAAGGAGGGTGTGTCCTGGCCAGCCTCTGGCGGTCAACACGTTGAAATACGTGTTGGCTACGTTATTGCATTCGTTCGATTGGAAGTTGCCGGCGGGGACGGAGCTGGAGTTGGAGGACAAGTTTGGGATTGTGATCAAGAAGATGAACCCTTTGGTCCTTGTTCCTACTCCCAGGCTGTTGAATTTGGAGCTGTACTAGGGCATAAAGAATAAGGTGCAGGCGAGATGTGTTGGTTGGAATAATGTTATGAGGTGGATGCATAAATTTGTCTTGTTTCGAGTTTTCTGTTGTTGTTGTTGTTGTTGTTGTGTTGTGCGATAATGTTGTTTAATAAGCTAATTGTGGTTGATTAGTTTGGGTTTGATGATTAATGGTCTTTTGTTGGACTTTATTGGGGGTCTTTTGTTTATGACGGTGGTCGGTTGTTGTCCGATTGTGGTTCCTTCTTCTTGTTATTATACTTTGTCTCTCCCTTCTAGGACATGAAAATAGTCCACTCTTGTCTCTGTTATTAGTTTATCTTGGTGAACTAGTAGTTTGCCGCCTTGGACAAGTAATGAGGAAGAGAATGAGTGGGTTTTCATGGATTGGAATGTAGCGGTGGCGACTGTTTGAGGTGTAAATTCTTTTTTTTTTAAGTTTATAATTGACACGTCGATAACTTAACGGTCAAATATTATTTTCATTGTTATTTATAACAAAATTTTTTTAAAAAAAATGGCAAATAACCAACAATGAAATATTAATTTCCGTCCCCGCTTTCATATCTATGAATTAATTGTATTATTGGATATTATTAGTTTTCATTATTTATTTATATTATAGAAAGAGGACACATGTACTTTCAAATTCTAGCTCGCCACTGGTGACTGATAAGGGAAAAAATTTCAAGTGTAAGCATAAAACTTATTAATAAATCGAGTGACCAAACGTGTGATCAGTGGTGGACCCAGGATTGTTGAAGAGAGGAGTCGCCTAATGAACAATTATTGGCTATAATTATTAAAGCGGTGACAGAAATGTCGTATTAAATTTTTTTGTACAAAAAAATACAGGTTTTTCACAAAAAATTTGGGCGAAAGGGTAGGGTTATCTCCACATACTCGGAAAATATATCCACCCCGATAAATCTCTAAATCACATACTCGGAGAATGTATCCGCCCTGTGTGTGATTGAGAGATTTAACCCTCGTATCGTATGATTGAGAGATTTATCGGGATGGATCCTTTGTCGAGACTCGAGAGTATGTGGAGATAGGGCTGGGAATCCAGTCCCGGTTTTCCGGTCAAACCGGAAACCAGGCAGTTAAAACCGTTCCGGTTGTAACCGAAAACCGGATACCCATTACCCAATCCAGTTTACAGTTTTAGTCTCAGTAGGACCGGTCCAATCCGGTTAAAACCGGGAAAACCGGATTGTAAAAAAGAAATTAATCCTAACCAGCCCAGCCTGCCTAATACTACTAAAGCCCACTACCCCAAGCCCGCCAACGACCCCAGCCCGCAACCAATCTCAGCCCAACCCTAATATACAGCTGGTACCCCATCCCCACTAGCCACATTAACCCTACCCTAATTTTGCAGTTGCAGCCGCTATCACTCTGCCTCCATCAATCCCCTCCAACTCCAATGATTAATCCTTCCCTTCTTAATCTCCCTAATCATCTCCAACTACAATAATCCCTTCCCAATCTCCTTAATCAGTCCCATTTTCCTCTGCGTAACACTAGGCGCCGACGCCGCCGAAGTTCATCGACCTCTTTGACAGAGACTGCGACGGCAACGAAAGAGGCAAGGAGCTCTGGTCCCCTACACGCGACGACGACGAAGGAGGCAAAGAGCTCTCCGAATCCCCGACGCGCGACATCAACGACGACGGTGACGATCTCCGCCACTGCAGCGTTGGATTAGCGACTCTGCGTTCTCCAATTCGGGGATCGACCAAAAGGCATAAACAAAGGTTGTAGCCGACTTCTTTCTTCTGATAGCTGAATGTTGGTTTGCATGCAACAGGGGAGGGATTCCAGGGAGGAGATAAGGTAGTTGGAAGAAAGATCAAGAAAGAAGATGAGAGTAAAATTCTTTGATTTACTAAATAGAGAGAAAGATTGTGAAAGATAGGGAGTTAGGGACGGTAGAAAAGTGGAGGAAAGCATAGATCTGAGTCACTCTTCTCATTTTCATTTACATTAATTTTATTTTTTTCTCCCAATTTTTTCTCAAATGACAACGTTTAGGAGGGGATTAATGTCACCCCAGTTTTCGGTTTAAAACCGGATTGAATCCAATCCGGTCACGGTTGAAACCGGGTGTCATCCAATCCCGTCTCCGGTTGTGGTATTTGTCAAAACGGTTTTAAAAAACCGGGTTAATCCGGTCCGGTTTAAACCAAACCGGATTGTTTCCCACCCCTATGTGGAGATAACCCTATTGTACTTACGATGTGTACTGCGAGAGAAGCAATTACCCGTAGGGATCGGGGGAAGAAGGCATTTATAGGGTTCGGTTAGTGTTTGGTTTGGGCTTAAGTAAGGAGAAGGCAAGGATAGGGCTAGAGTCCAAGAGAGGGTCCTTAAACCTAGCTTGGCAGACTTTGGCCCTGAACTAAAGATGGATCTCATATAGAGGTGGCAATTGGATCGGATTCGTGGATTCGTGGATTGGATTGGTGGATCCATGGATTGGATCAAATGGATTGGTGGATTGATCCATGAATCCAAATGACATCCAAGGCTTGGACCAAAATGTAAATTTTGAAAAGTTTAGGTACTAAAATGTCATAATTAAAAATTTTAGGTACCAAAATGTAATTTTCCAATGATTTTTTTCGTATAAAAAATAAATTTTAGGTACCAAAATGTAAAATATAAAAAATATAGGTACCAAATCGTAATTTGTCATTTGGATCCATGGATTGATCCATGAATCCACCAATCCAATTGGATTTGGATCAAAAGGATTGGATTTAAATGGATTGGATTAAGTGGATAATTTGGTGGATGGATTGGATTGGATTCATGGATTTGGATCCTCATTGCCACCTCTAATCTCATACGTGGGTCCATATAAGGCTATTCCCCTCCCTCGATGGATGCATCCGAGATCCACGAGTCAAATTGCTTTTATTTGATGACCAAACCTTTACTTGTTGGATTTGATAGTGCCTAGTATTTTTCAATCTTGTCTATTCAAAGTTTCTTTCTATCCAAGTTTGAATGTGTTGGAATTTGGTCCGGTTGCATGAAAATGGTTGAACCACTAATGCACCGGTTGTGTTGCCTGTTTAGGAATTACAGTTTTTTTATTATTAAAGCAACACGTCCCTCCAATTCCATTTGCATGAAACAATGCAATGCTTGGAATTGCAAATTGAATTCCCAGACACGTTGCATGGATAATGGCAGTTATGGAGCAAAGTTTATCCATATTCTTGTCAAATAATTGCAACGTTTGATATGAAGCAAAGCAATGCTTCGTCCCCAAGCATTATATCCGTTTGGACTCTATAAATAGAGGTGGTCGGAAAAGAGAAAACACATAAAAAAATGATTCTTCTTCATACTAAACTTCTAAGCATGTTTTAGGTACTTAAGCCTCGAACCTAAAGTGGTGATAGTTTTATCCTACGAAGAAATTTTCTATAACCCTATGCTTGTTGAGGGTGGAAATATTCTTTACGGAAAGTGAACGTAGTTCACGACTCTATCATAATCCTAGTCACCCGGTCTCGGGCTATCAAACGTGTACCCTCATCCTTAATAGTCCCAACAATCGTAAAGAATATTTTCCGGTACGATGGCTCGAACCACTCTTTACAAGAAACCGGTTTTAGTCGATGAAATTATGAGAATCGATGATGAGTTTTTCATCGATGGCAGTAGAAGATGGGTGTTCTTCGTACTAGTCTCATGATGTATTCCATATCCGGAAGGTAACTTGGAAGAGGGATGATTCAAAGATGAGGAAGAAGGAGAACGATTCGTATAATGGAGAAATAGAAGAATGGAAATTTCCTTTGGGTAGGTCACATACTCAATGTTTAATTTGTCTAATTCTCTATTCGACGTTTACGAAGTGCTAGACAAATATGGATTTGTCTAGTGGTTTGATGGTTTGGTTTTGTCTAAGTGGTTTATGTTAAACCAAGGAGACAAAATTGTATATATACAATGTTTGATGATTCTGGTAATAGAGTCGTTGTGTTTGTATGTAGATGACATATTTATCTTTGGGACCAATCAAAGATAAGTGATTTTGTCTTATTTTAAACCAAGGAGACAAAATGTGTACACAATTTATGATGATTCTGGTAATGAAGTCATCATACATTTGTATGTATAAGACATGCTTATCTTTGGAACCAATAAAAGATAAGTGAACTTTGATAAAAAGTTGTTCTTTCAATTCTCCATGTAGGACATGGGGGAGGCAAATGTGATTCTGTGTATTGAATCAAGCAGAACGACAAGAAAGAGTCTTTCTCTCAATTTTTCTGCATGAGAAGGTACTTGCATAAATTACATAGTAGGAATTGTAGTGAGTTAAAGACCCCAATGGATCCAAGTATGAAACTTATGGTTAATACTGGAAATCAATTTTACAACTGGAGTATTCCATGACAAATTGGGGGCTCGATGTATGCATGACTTACATGATGCTAGATATCGCATATGCGATAGAACAATTAAGTTGGTACGTGATGAATCCTAGTTCTCATAATTTGAATTGAAATGAGGCGTGTACTAGGATATGTCAAAGACACACTGTATTGATTTATAGTGGCTTTCCATCAATTTTGGAAGGATTTGTTGATGTTAGTTGGATTTCTCATGTTAAAGGTGATACTTCAACATTGAGATGAGTCCTCTTGCTTGAGAGATGTGCCATATTTTGGGCCTCTAGAAAGCAAACTTGCATCACTAAGTTTCACTATGGAATCAAAATTTGTGTGGTCTTGGTTTCTCTTAGAGAAGAGACATAATTTTTGAGAGGTTTTGTTTATGAGGTTTTTCTCATATTTATAGACCTCGAATTAGCAAATTTTTTGGGCATGATATTATACCCTAACATTTAATGAGTGAACCCTAGGTCCTAATTATCTAAATCATAAACTATAAACCCTAAGATGTTGCATTCATTTTTTTGCCTATATTTGGATGAATCATAACCGTCGATTATTGTTTCTAATTAAATTGATCTTGGAGCATAAGTTTTAGAGAATTAAGACCTAGATTTTGATCTTTAATGGTTAGAGTATAGTATCATGTCCGAAAGATCAGTCAATTCAAGATCTAGATAGTGTTTTCATACTCAAAGTATGCGGTACCCCGGATTTCACCCTAGGTACCGTAGAACTCGCCATATATATATATATATATATATATATATATATATATATATATATATATATATATATATATATATATATATATATATATATATATATATATATATATATATATATATATATATACGAGTAGTATCTATATATATATATATATATATATATGATAAGAAAACACTTTGATAAATGAAGTACAATTATGTGAATCAATATCATGGTAACAATTAAAGTAAAAAAATTATTGTCAGTAGAATATATATTAAGTATATACGACTTCGATACATAATTTATCATCACATGCATATCGGTTTGGATATTCTCGGATTGTAATTAACCACTCAAATTGTCACCCAATTACAAAGTTTAGATTTTCCAAAATTGAAACTCACATCCACTTATATAATTTAATATTTTATAATATTACGAGTGGGTCGATTTCCGGTTTATTTGGTTTGGTTTCCCCTGACCCAATTTCAGGTATGAAACGATTGGTAGGCATACCGCATACGTTTCGAATAATTTCCATTAATGTAGAGGCAATCACAATTCACAAGGTAAGGCCCCTATCAGAAACATGCAGTAAAGGAAAGGAGAAAAAACATATCTTAAATTATTAAAGAAACATACCAAACACAACCGTACCACTACCACATCCACATGATGATATGACCCACACAGTCCACTCGATGAGCGAAAACTAATGTGTGAGCTGCCGCCCGCTAGAGGTAGGTTTCGATACATAACTACTAAGTACTAACCTTAGAAGATAATAAGTTAATTACGCCAAGTTTCCTACACTAAGGTTAGGCCTGTCAATTCGGTTTCGGGTTTTCGGTTTAACCCGAACCCGAACCGGTATATGCATTCTCGGTTTTGGTTTTTGCGGTTTCAACCCGGTATATATAATAGCGGTTTCGGGTTACTGAAACCCGAAAAACCGAAAGCAACCCGAAAAAACCGAAAATTGACAGGCCTCAGCCCTATCATCGTCCACCTCGTTCTCGCAGCCGCAGCCGCGCGCTCTCTTCGTCTTCGCCAAACAAAACAGAGTTCCCTCGCGGCCTCGCCAGTCGCCACCATCATCGTCCTCGCCGCCAGCGGCCTCGTGAGGACCTCCGACCGCCATCGAATCCCTCGCCGGTCTCGTGGGTTCTAGTAGAGTTGAATCCCTTCCTCGCCGCTTCGCTCTTCACCTCGGGAAGGAGAGACCCAGTGCCCTGCCCACATTCTTCCGACGACTCCACCATGGAATCCTAGTGAGTCTGCTTCGCTCTTTCTTTTGAATTTTGATTTGATTTGGTCCAAACAGCAAAAGAAATCCCAGATGCCAATCTAATAAAAAAAGCAGAATCAAATAGAATTGGGTTTTTCTGGATCAATGAATAAGTGATTCCAACATCGTCCCAATCCAGCAATTGCATGCAGCATCATCAACAAAACCAGCCTTTTCTCATGGGTATGCATCTGAACCACGACAACCCCTCTACCACAAATCATAACACTAACAGCAGTATCAGCAATGGTGGTGCTGGATCAGTTCCTTCTGTTGCCTCTCTGCTCCAGAGGGATGACTTCCAGAAGGGCATCCTTCATTTCTTCTGACCAGACCAGAAAGAAACTGCATGCAGAGAAAGAAGCATGCATCCACCATATCTGTGCACAATACCGGAGGTCAAACCTTGACGCGAACCGAACAAGAAATTATAGAAATGGTAGCTTGTTTGTACCTCTGAGGAAGAAGCCAGCTGGAGCAGAGTCTCGCCGGGGAGCAAGTCCACGGTCCGAGGAGGAAGAGAGGCCCTGGCGGTTGGAGTCGTCGTCGTTGCGGCGGCTGGGGGCGTTGTCAACCTGACCGGTGTCGTTTTCATCTCCGGCGTACCCAGGTGTTCCAGTGTTGAAGGAGCGGGAACAAGCATATGAGCGGCCTGCAGTGAGCCTCCAGAAGAATCCGGCAGGGGCAGCGATCGTTTTTCTAAGAGCTATGAGGGATGCCATCTATGGATTTTGTGTTATGGTGGAAAGGAAGTTTCTGTGGTTGAGGGGTTTGACATTTAAGAACGGTGCACCGAATGCAAAAAAGAGTGCTCCAGAGAAACCACTAGTGATTTTTTTTCGGGTTTCTTAACCCGCAACCCGCAGCCACACAAATTCGGTTTCGGTTTCGGGTTTGTGGGAGCCGGTTTTGGGTTTCGGGTTTTTGTGGTTTTCGGGTTCGGTTACCCGAACCGACCCGAACCGACAGGCCTAACTAAGGTACGGAGTGCCATCAAAATCATGTCGACTATAATCACTAGAAAAGACACATCGTGAAACCTATCATAATTTCGAGTTTATTTTCAGCTAACCGATAAAGATGTTTTATTTAGAAAACGTGGTTGCAAAATGCGTTTAATTTTCAAACAAAATAACCGTGACGTATGTAATACAATAGTGTATAAGGTTTATATAATTTGCCCCCTTTTCACAACTTAGACTTATTGAAACACATTGGTTTTTTTTTATATAATATCAAAGTCCTTAGGACCAATACAGTTAAAGTCTAGCTTTTATGTAAAAGCTAAATGATAGGTGAAAGTGGAAGCAGAAAAAAGTTACCTTTTAAACATTCTATAAAATTGATAGAAATTTTCTAAACATAATTTTTATTTTGAAAAATATAAACAAATGAGTGAACTAGCTCAAATGTTAAAGATCACTCTCACACACACGTAAACTAAATTAGTAGGCTTGCAAGGTTGTCAACCCGCGGGTTGACCCGGACCCGGTCGAGCTAGTGGGTTAAGGGTTAATGGGTCAACCGTTTTAGCCCGGTTTGGCCCGGAAATATTAAGAAAGTCATTATATTATACTTATCCTCATAAATTATATCAAATCTTATCTAACATATGAGTTATAACATATAATATTACACCAAAATAACATATCGTACTTAGATCCAACATATAATGAAAATTCACACACACTTATATAACATAAATATTCAAATGTTCAACTTAGGATTCCAAAGATTGAGTTGGGCGAAAAGAAAAATCGGAAAATTGGCACATTTCGCAAATCAAAGGAAAAAGTGACACAATTTGACCTCCAACCCGGTACCTTATAGCGGTCGGCCCGGCGGGTGCGTGTGGCCCGTTTTTCTCATCGGGTCAGGGTCAAACTGGGTCGACCCAGGGGTCAACCCGCGGATTGACAACCTTGTAGGCTTGTAAACAAACATTTCCTCTCTGCTTCGAAAAAAATCATAATTTTAGGACAACATTTAATGTTGCCGAATATATATAAACCACCACACACACTTCCCTCCCAACGCCAATCAAACTCAAACCCCATCAAAGAAGTCAATAAATTCTCCCACCATGCTTCTTCCCCTTATTATTCTACTCGCCTCCTGCATCCTAATCCCTTTAACAATCCGCTGCCTCTCCGGCAACCTCAGAGCCGAAAAGACACCGGCAAACGCACCCGACAGCGGCCGGCTGTTGCCGCCCGGGCCACGTGGGCTTCCCATACTGGGCTACCTCCCCTTCATCGGGCCCAATCTCCACCAAGACTTCATGAACCTGGCCCTACACTACGGCCCAATCTTCAAGCTCTCCCTCGGCCGGAAGCTCTGCGTCATCGTCAGCTCCCCTGCCCTCGCCAAACAAATCGTCCGCGACCATGACGTCACGTTCGCCAACCGGAACCCCAACGTCGCCGCCGGGGTGTTCTCCTACGGCGGCAGGGACATCGCCTTCTCGCCGTACGGCGCCGAGTGGCGGCTGCTGCGGAAGATATTCGTCCACAAAATGCAGAGCAAGCAGAGCATGGATTCTTTCTACCCGCTCCGGAGGAAGGAGGTGAGGAAAATGGTGGCGGAATTGTACAACGGCGGCGGCGGCGGAGGCGGTGAGGTGGACGTGGGAAGGGTGGCGTTTACGACGGTGATCGGGATGATATCGGGGATGTTCTGGGGTGGGACCCTTGGGAACGGAGATGGTGATGATGACGTGGCGAAGGTGGTCGGCGGCGAGTTTCGGTCGACGGCTTCGAAGCTTGTGGAGGTGCTGGGCAGGCCTAATGTGTCGGATTTCTTCCCGATTCTCGCCAGGTTCTTAATTTTCCCCTACAACTAGTTTTCTTGTTACTTTATTTAAAAAGAAAACATCAAAGGCTAGCAAGGAAGGGAAGATATCCAGGCTAGCGTATCTCAGACGTACACTATATATTTGTGTTCAAATTTTTGAAAGGTGGACGAGTTTTACTATTTAGATCATGAATTTATCGAATTTTGAAGCATGATACTATACCTTAATTTTTAATGGACAAATCCCAATCTCTAATTATGTAACTCGAACTATAAAAAAATTTGATTTTAAAATATACTGACAAGTATGAATGCAAACGTGTAGTGTATGTCAGGCATACGCTAGTCGCTAGCATTTGTTATTTGTATATATAATTAAAATGTAAAATTTATAATTAAAATTTAAAAATAGATTGATAAATAAAACAACGATCTTCTGGAAGTAGAAGACTAATTACGATACCATAAAAAATGAGATATCAATTGAGAGTAGATATAATCAATCCTCTTCGCGAGTCAAGTCAGATGATCAGATACACGACTTGTCACTTTTACCCACTTGCGGAGCCAGGTGATTGGTTGTGAAAATGAATGCACATTAAAAATGGTGAATATTCAAATTGGAACTAACAAATTTTGAAATATACACCCTTTTTTTCTCAAAATCTCAAGACAATAACTTTATCATCGAAACACACAATTGTAATTTATTATTTTCGGACCCTACTAAATTATATTCCCGACTAACCTACTAATAACTAGAGCATCAAACCTTCTTACCAAATTACAATCACTAATACAACTCCGGTATATAGGTGTCCCTTTCATAAAATTGATTGCATATCGTGATATTGAACCCCAATTATTTATTGTGTTATCCCCACACTCTCTTTTGTTGGGCCAGGTTTGATTTACAAGGAGTGAAGAAAGAAATGAAGAGAGTGTCGGGTGGGATGGAGAAGATATTCGATTTCGTGATTGATCGGTGCATTGATGATATGATGAACAAGCCAAGATCAGACGATGATCATAATGGTCAGCAAGATTTCCTGCACTCCCTGTTGGAGTTCAAGGACCAAGATACTGGAAATTCCATCACAAGACAGCAGATTAAGGCAATGCTCATGGTAATTATTTTCAAATCCCTCCATTTTCCTTTTTTTATTGCTTCAATTTGGAACGAGTGCTGTCTGGAAGAAACATGTCTATATCAAGTCGTGGCAAAATTATGTCATTCTGCCTTAGCTTTGACTTTTCCAATCTTCATTCAACAATACCAAACAAATACAAAGATGATGCCTTAGAACGAACTGATAACACCATAGAATTCCCATAAATTAATTAAGTTTACTTTCCACTTGAGACTCTTTAAGGATGTCTGACTTTGGATTTTTGTTTTATAATGTTATGTTAGCCAAGCCCGACTTGACTATGTAGAAGTCCTTATCAAGGATTATCATCCGCTCAACATTAAAATATATGTAAAATTTGCATCAAATTTAAGAAATACAGTTGACAATAAGCTTTTACTCTCCTCTTTTCAATTACCATGATTCAAATTAACTCTCATTTAAATTCCTGATTCCGCCACTGTCTTTTAGCTGATTCTAGAAACTCGATTGAAAGTTGAAACACATATTGTTAGTTACATACATATATGCCAATAGCTAATTTCGTTGTGACAGTGCGTTAACTCTCAACTGTTAACAGGACATCGTCATTGGAGGAACCGACACAAGCTCGACCACGATCGAGTGGGCAATGTCCGAACTGATACAACATCCCGAAGTCAAGAAAATCGCCCAACAAGAGTTGACACGAGTGATTGGTCCCGACAGCGTTATGGAAGAATCTCACATCCCCAATTTGCCATTTCTCCATGCCATCGTGAAGGAGACACTGCGATTGCACCCGGTGGCGCCTCTGCTCCTCCCTCGTTGCCCAACCAAAGGCTGCCACGTCGGCGGCCACTTCATTCCCGAGGGGACCAAGGTTTTCCTCAACGTGTGGGCGATGCACAGGGACCCTGAATTCTGGGAGGATCCGACGTCGTTTCTCCCGGAGAGGTTTCTGAATGAGAATGATGAACAGTCCACCAGGAGCTTAGATTACTTGGGTGGGAGCTTCCATTATCTTCCGTTTGGGTCGGGGAGAAGAATCTGTGCCGGTTTGCCGCTCGGCGAGCGGATGGTTATGTATGTTTTGGCGACGCTTTTGCATATGTTTGATTGGGAACTTCCTGAAGGTGTTGTGGCAGACACGAAGGAGAAGTTTGGGGTTGTGTTGGAGAAGGTGAATCCTTTGGTTTTGGTATCGAGTCCTAGATTGCCCAATTTGAGTCTTTACAAGTAGACATCGGCTGGTTAATAGTACCATGGTGTCATAATATATATTACTTCATACTAATTGTATTCAAGCCATAAATCTGAACAATTAAGTCTAATGGGGCTTGAGTTGTGATAATCGAGAGAGAGGGGATGGGGAGCCTTACCCAATTAGCTAGCTAGTCTATACCTCAAATTTGTAACAAGTTATACCTGTATTATAATGTATACACAAAACTAAGTTTTTTTACGATATAAGTTTAACGATAGCGACTTATAGGGTGAATTTTTATAGCATTGGTGTGATGATATCGAGAATCAAAATTCAATCTTGGTGGATCCTTCCTCGAGTAGTATGCTGGAGACTGGAGTATTGACGAGGGATGAAGGATACCTCGATGTAGTCGGATTGAGAAAGGATATACATTCATGGAGGGGACCTATGCACTACATTCTCAAGGCCAATTGGAATATTGGATGAATGATCCTTTACAACCTTAACCAGGTTCATGTAGTCAGCGAGAACCAACATATGTAGCCCTGAAGTTTTAACAAGATTTAATGCCACTAGAAGAGCTTTAGCCATTGCCACTAATCAATTGTTGAAGTGCATAGTAGCGTATCAGTCTTTGCCGTCATGTACATGTCCATAGTGATTAGTAACAACTACCCCATCAGCCACCAGAATCAGAATTTCTAAATGATTCATCACAAAAAATTTCAACTGAAAATCACCAGACAATAGGGGACAGGTTACGGTGATTACTACTTATGTAGTAATCACCGTGGTTACTAAGGGTAAATTGGGTATGAAAAATAAATTATATTAATTAATTTTTTTAATAAATTATATTTTAGGTAGTTACAAAAATCTATTAATTACAATTCTCTCTCTTTCTCTCACTTCCATAATCTTCAGCCAGATCCCTTTTCCTTATTTTTCTCAATCTTTCTGCAAAAGAAAAAAAACACAAAATCACTACCAATCCATTAGATAATCACTACCACTTTGAAAAATATCAATACCATTGCAGAAATAAATCTATACCATTACACGAAAACTACCAATATAAACAATCTACCAATATAAATCTATACCATTTCACAAAAAATCAATACCATTGCAGATTAAATCCATACCAATACATGCAAATTAATATCATTACATGATAATCAATATCAATGCGACAAAAACAATACCAATGCAAGAAAACACTACCACTCCGACAAAATCACTACCAATGCGGGGGAAAAATCAGATCTTGGGTTTTTATTCATCCCACCTTTTCCAGCGCACAACCTAAAAACTCAACTACCAGTCTACCACAGAACAACAAGATCGAACCTAACAGTCACCAAAGGGAGGAAGAAGAAAAATCAGAAAGCAGAGAAATCTAACCTGAGGATCCTGGACGTCGTGGTAGAAAGGCAAAGCGGTGTGGAAGACGCCGTCGCAGCCCTGGACGACGGAATCGAACGAGCCTTTCTTGAGCAAGTTCGCCTTGAACAGCTGGAGCCGCTCGGAAGCTCCGTCGAGCGCGCGGAGGTGCTCGGTCTTCCTCGGATCGTCTGCGAACAAACAAACTGCCGCAAGCGGTGGTGAGAAAGGGGGGAAACGGAAAAGAGCGACGAAATTGAGAGGGCAATGATGAGGAAACTGACTTGGATCGCGGACGGAGGCCCTGATGGTGTAGCCGCGGGAGAGGAGGAGCTTGACGAGCCAGGAGGCGATGTAGCCGGAGGCTCCATTGACGCAGACGGTTTTTGAGAATCTGGCAAATGGCTTGTTTGGGTTTTTGAGAATCTGGCCGGCGGAGTGACGCCGACGGGGGTGGGAGAAGGGAGAGACGGCGGCTAGATAGATAGGTTGTATTAAGGTTTGAGTATAATATATACAGTAATAAGGTGTGGTATATTTTTCATTTCCTAAATTACCCTTAGCTAATCTTAATCGTTAATTTAAAAACATAATAAAATAAAGCTAATGAATGGTATAAATGTTGGTAGCCACCGTGATCACTCAAAATTGAGTAACCGCCCTAACCTATTCCCAGACAATGGTATAGGATGAACACGGGATGTCAAGAACTGATCATCACTAGCTCACTGGAGACGGTAATGAATTATACTGCACTCAATGAAGTCTCTATGGACATTAAGGATTTTCCTTATACATAAAAGTTGAGGATGGATATTGGCATGGCCTCAACAGGGCTCCCCAACTACATATAAAACCTGCCTAGAACCTAATTGTTAGAAACCTAAATTTTTAACCTTAGAATATATTACCTGAGTCGAATACTGGTTTTGATGACTTTCCAACCAAAAAATTAGAAGGAAATGGAAGTTGTGTTCTTAACAATATAAATTATCTCTTTCATTCATTAAGTCAAATGAGTTACACGTTTATAAATACACTAAGGGATCGTTTGGATTAGGAATTTGAACGATGAATTTCAATACAATCCCTCATTATGCAGGATTTTAAAAGAATTATGCATTTGTATAGACCTCTGAAAATGAGAGATTTTAATCATGCAGGATTTAAAAAACCTGCATATGCTGGAATTCAAAATACCTGCCCAGCTGTCCTCGCCCAACTATTTCCAAATTCGGGCCTCTTTTTCTTCCGCTTCCAGTTCTGTCCCCACTCTCGAGTCCCCACACTTCACTTCTTTCTCCTCCAAAAAAGCACATTTTTCCCATCTCTCTCATACCACCACCCACGTCACTTCTCCTCAAAAAGACCCCTTCTTCCGCTCTCTCTCTCTCTCTCTCTCATACCCCCACCGCCACCAGCATACTCGGAAAGGAGAAGTGCGGCGGTGGACATTTTCGAAGCAGTAGCAAGTGAGAAGACGTTGCGACGGTCGAGCGAAGGAGGTCTGAAGGAGTTACCGCCATCAAAGTGTCGAACGACGTAACGACGGTCGATCGATTTTCAGATCTTCTCTGAAACTTTCTGAAGAAGGATTATGCAGAAAGTAAAGGAGGAAGAAGAAATGGGGAATCCTCAGCTTGTCTCGTGCTGGGTTTCTTTCATTTATACCATTCCGAATTTACTGTAGAGTAACGGTAACAAAAACACGTGTCCAAGAGCGATTGCTCTGTAAATAACTAACAGCAACAAACATAAACCAAACGCTGCGTACAGCAACTCGTTTCTAATAAGAAACGTTTCTTCTTTAAATAAACCTTCAACTCCAACGTTCTTCTTCTTCTGCAAACTCTGCAACCATCAGCTGCTGCTTCCCTTTGGACTTCTGCACTTCTTCTTCCTGCTGATTCAAGTCAGCAACTCCTTTGAACTTCATCACGCCCCCACAAGTTGGCGCGTATATGTTTAATACGCCCAACTTGTCCAACAAGTAATTCAACCTGTATCGACTTAGGCCTTTAGTAAACAAGTCAGCAAGCTGATCTTCACTTCTCACAAACTTCAATTTGATAAGTCCAGACTTGATCCTTTCTCTAGTAACATGAACATCAATTTCGATGTGCTTGGTTCTTTCATGATAAACTGGGTTTTCTGCAATTTGAATTGCAGACATATTATCACAATAAACCAGAACTGGTGTTTAAATTTTCACATCCAGTTCTGCAAGTAGCCCTTTGAGCCACTGTATCTCACACACAAGGTGAGCTAATGCTCTATACTCAGCCTCAGACGAAGACCTAGACACTGTAGTCTGCTTCTTTGCTCTCCATGTAATCAGAGATCCACCTAGGAAAGTACAATAACCAGAAATGGACCTCCTTGTATCAGGGCATGCTGCCCAATCAGCATCACTATAAGCCTTCAAAACCAGATCATTATTTGATTTAAAATGCAAACCCTGACCTGGTGCTCCCTTTAAGTACCTCAAAACCCTGTAAGCAGCTTGCAAATGAGTGTCTCTTGGTTGTATTTGGTATTGACACAGCTGCTGAACTGGGAAGGCAATGTCTGGCCTGGTTACTGTCAAGTAATGCAATCTGCCTACCAGTCTTTTGTACACACTTGGATCTGGTAGCAGTGTTCCTTCAGTTGCACTCAACTTGATCTTGCAGTCAAGAGGACTTTTACAACTCTTAGCATCCAATAAACCTGTTTCTGCAAGTAAATCCATACAATATTTCCTTTGTGAAACTGAAATCCCACTGGAATTCCTTGTAACTTCTAATCCCAGGAAGTATTTCAAACTTCCAAGATCTTTGATCTTAAAATCCCTTTTCAGAAACAACTTGACTGCTTCCAAGTCACCTAATCTGGGACCTGCTAGTATTATATCATCAACATAGACTAAAACAACCACAATCCTTCCCTGAACCCACTTAACAAACATGGAATAATCAGATGAGGACTGTGAGAATCCATTCTTCAAAAGAGATCCAGTAAGCTTGGCAAACCACTGCCTACTGGCTTGTTTCAAGCCATATAATGACTTTTTGAGTTTGCAAACCATGCCTTCAGAACCTTCATCCACTGGAAACCCTGATGGCAACTGCATGTACACATCTTCTTCCAAGTCCCCATGCAAGAATGCATTGGAAACATCTAACTGATGTAAACACCAGTCCTTAGCAGCAGCAACTGCAAGTAGTGTTTTGACTGAATTATTCTTGGCAACTGGTGAGAAGGTATCCAGAAAATCAACTCCATAAACTTGAGTAAAACCCTTTGCTACTAATCTGGCCTTAAACCTTTCAACACTTCCATCTGGCTTGAGTTTGATTTTGTATACCCATCTACATCCAATTGCCTTCTTCCCTGGAGGTAGTTTAACTAACTCCCAGGTTTGGTTTTCAATGAGTGCAAGTAGCTCTTCCTTCATTGCTAACCTCCAGCACTCCTCCTCATTTGCTTCTTCAAAGGAAGTCGGTTCAACCATTGTCACCATGTTGACTGCATATCTTCTCATGTCTTCAGTCAGCATTTTATAATCAACCACGTCTGTGATTGGATACTTAGTGACAATTCCCAAGTAGTAATCCTTTAATCTGGCTGGTAAAGTAACATTTCTCTGAGGTCTTGTTCTAACTGGTTCTGCCTCATGTTCCTCCAACTGTTGGAGTTCTGCTTCTTCTTCTTCATTCTCTACAGTTATATCAGTCTCATACACAGGAGTATTATCAAATGATGCATCAAATTCATTGCTTGTAGGATGAGAAGAGGAAGAAGAAGGTTGACAGGAAGGACTAATGACATGACCCTGTGTGGAAGGACTATTGACATTACCCTGTGAAGAAGGACTACTGACAGTAGGAAAGCTATTTTCTGGAATTGATGGAAAAACAGGTGATGTATTGGTTTCAACCTGTTCATTATCAACTGCTGGATTTGGATTCAATGTTTTAAATGGGAAAATGTCTTCATAGAATATCACATCTCTAGACACTAGGAAGTCATGTGAATTCAAATCAAACAATTTGTAACCTTTAATGCCTGCTGGAAGTCCAAGAAAGATGCATTGCCTAGCTCTTGGATCTAATTTGGTTCTGCCTGGAACAGTGCTAGCAGCATATGCTAAACACCCAAAAACTCTTAAATGACCAAGGAAAGGAGGTTTTTGGTACAGCACTTCATAGGGAGACTTGTTTTGTAAAACTGGAGTTGGAAGCCTATTGATTATGTAAACAGCATGAACCACACAATCACTCCAGAAATTGAGAGGTACACCTGAATGAAATCTCAAAGCACGAGCCACATTTAAAATGTGTTGATGTTTGCGTTCTACCCTCCCATTTTGTTCAGGTGTATAAGTACAGGAGGTTTGATGCTCTATGCCCTGATTAAGATAGAAATCACACATATAAAACTCTTTCCCCTGATCACTCCTCACTGTTTTAACTGTCTTTCCAAACTGGTTATGAACCATTTTACAGAATCCAATCAACAATCCCCTAGCTTCAGACTTTTGTTTCATTAAGTAAACCCAAACAGCACGAGAATGATCATCAACAATGGTTAAGAAATAAAAATAACCATCATGGGAATTAACTGATAATGGACCCCAAATGTCAACATGTACCAATACAAAGATGTCTGAAGCCTTAGAATCACTCAAAGAAAATGGCAATCTCTTCTGCCTGGATAAATGGCAATGCTCACAATGTTTCACTCTCTCAACAGGAACTGTTGGATTACATTTGTTAAGAAGCAAAGTACTACTATTACTGGGATGGCCTAATCTCCAATGCCACAGCTCAATCTTGTGGGATTCAAAATTATAAACTGAAGCAACTTGAGAAGTAGTGTTTGGTAAAGTAGGCTGGTCTGGTAGAAAGTGATATAGGCCTCTACTTTCTTTTGCCAAACCAATCCTCTTGCTGGTCACTAGGTCCTGGACATGACAAAGGTCAGATTGAAATATGAGTGAGATTGGGAGGTCATGTGTAAGTTTGCTAACAGAGACAAGGTTGAAGGTGAAGCTAGGAACTAGAAGCACATTGTGCAAGAACAGATTTGGAGACAATCTAACTGAACCTATATGTGAGACTTGAACCTTTGCTCGATTAGGAAGATAAACAAAGACTTCAGACACAGGAGAACAACTATCAAAAAGAGAAATGGAACAAGCAATGTGATCTGATGCACCAGTATCAAATATCCATGTGTTTTGTAAAGTTTTATGATTCTGATAAATTGACAGGACATGCTTACCTCCATAGTTTGGGAATTGAGGCAGGTAATTAGTCACAGAGTGTGACCTATGATTGATTGCAGGACTCTGAGGAGAGGTTGGTGAGCTAGAGCTTGAGGACTGCAGAAGGCTTCTCAGTTTGTTCATTTCCTCTGCAGTAAATCCACCAGAAGTATTTGAAAACCTGCTTCCAACCTCAACTTGTAAGTTCCTGTCTCCTTCAATATCTGACTCTTGAGCTACTGCACCAGAGAATCTATTGCCTGATCCTTCTCTATCTTGCCTCTTCTTCTTAAGTCTCCAACAGTCCTTAATCACATGATTTGTTTTCTTGCAATAGTTACAAAATAACTGATCATTCTCACTACTTCCCTTGTAGCTACCAGTGTCTCCACTGCCTTTGTAAGAACTCTTAGTTGTTGTGTTTGAATTTGAAGTTCCAGTTCCACTGTAAGAACTTGCTGCTAGAGCAACTGATTGAGTTGTTGCCTTGCTACCAGATCCCTTTCCATCTGCCTTGAGCTTCTGCTCATGTTGTAACAGGTCATGGAAAGCCTGTACCACTGTTGGCAGAGGTTTCTGCATCAACTGCTGTGTCCTGATGTAGTCATACTCAGGATTCAGGCCTCGCAAGAATCGAATCAAATAGTCTGTATTCTGTTTCAGCTTGAATGCTTCAACAGCAGCACAAGGTAAGGGATTTCCAGGTAGACAACCACAAGGCACAATAGGATTAAACTGACTATACTCTTCCCAAAGACCCTTCATGTGTGTATAATACTGGGTAATGGTCTGGGTACCTTGCTTAGTAGCATGGATTTCGTCTTCCAGATTAGTAAGCTTCTGTGCATCAGCTTGACCATAACGATCCTTAAGTTCATTCCACAAAGCACGAGCATTATCATGACTAAGTACACTTCTCGCTATATCCTTCTCTAGAGAATTAGTAATCCAACACAGCACAATCGTATTACAAGCATCCCATATCTGAAACAAATTGTCATTTCTGTTTGGAGCAACAATCGACCCATCTATAAAACCTAGTTTGTTCTTAGTCTTAAGAACCACTTTCACTGCTTTAGACCAGGTCTGATAGTTTGGACCATCAAGAACAATGGGTACGATAGACTGAGCCAAATTCTCATTTGGGTTGATGTAGAATGGGTTACCGAAATTCAGATCTGCTGCTCGGTTGTTGTTGTTGTTGTTGCCTTGAGTGTTTCCTGACTGGTTTTGGAAAGATCCAAAGTTCACCGGAGATGGAGTATTTGGTGGAGTGTTGGCACCTCCACTCGTTGTGCCTGAGCCTGACATGATCCCTTAGATCTGCTCTGATACCATGAAACTTTCTGAAGAAGGATTATGCAGAAAGTAAAGGAGGAAGAAGAAATGGGGAATCCTCAGCTTGTCTCGTGCTGGGTTTCTTTCATTTATACCATTCCGAATTTACTGTAGAGTAACGGTAACAAAAACACGTGTCCAAGAGCGATTGCTCTGTAAATAACTAACAGCAACAAACATAAACCAAACGCTGCGTACAGCAACTCGTTTCTAATAAGAAACGTTTCTTCTTTAAATAAACCTTCAACTCCAACGTTCTTCTTCTTCTGCAAACTCTGCAACCATCAGCTGCTGCTTCCCTTTGGACTTCTGCACTTCTTCTTCCTGCTGATTCAAGTCAGCAACTCCTTTGAACTTCATCATTCTCGCCGGCGACTCCTTGACTAGTATCAACGAGTCGGTTTCGTTTCGTGGGTCTGCATCCAGAGTCGCAGTGTCTTAATCACTTTTACTGTAGATTTGGAGTTTTGATTGCGTTGCATTGCAGATCAATTTTATGCTGCCAACTCTGTATGTTGGAGCAAGGATGTTCTGTATTGCGGGTTGCCGTCGCGTAGCTTTGCTTTTGGATCGGGAGTTATCGTCTCGAAGATTGAGAGTCGTCGTTGAGAGCTGCCATCGTCGCCACGGAGGTCTATTTTCCGATTAGGGGCCAGAAACCCATTGTCTTCCACTATCATTTTCGGTTCAACCACTTCACAGAGAAGCAATCAATCCTCGATTTGTCGCCCATTGGCTTCGGTTCAAAATAGGAGAAAGAAGACAATAAAGAGGGCAAAGTAGTCATTCTAATTTTGTCATTAAAATTAAATTCTTCAATGCACAATTCTTAACTCTTCAACAAACAAGTGATTTGTTGCAACTCCCTTATATTAATTTCCTGATTTTTTAAATGAGCTATTTGTGTATAAATTCCTGATTTAATAAAACCATTATCCAAACGACCCCTAAAAAAATGTGAAGATTAAAAATCCAGCCATGGTGAAAGGACGTCTGTTGTTGTGTCGTTGTTCTTGGATGAAAGCATTAAAGCAAGAGGAAGAAAGTGACAGGATTGTCAAATTTCTATCCATCCTAAAAAGACATGTCGAGCAAAATTCCAAGCCATATATAGCTTTTGGTCCAGTCGTTATTTAGCTATTGAATTTCCTGCAGGGTGGGTGTGCTTCTCTTTGAGGTCGGACTTCAAAATTCAGTTGATCTGGGCCTATTTTAGGGCCACAGCCCACAAGACAGATCCTGGTTTGGGTCTCTCCTTGGACTAAGCCGTGCTTCCACCTTAGGCCTCCGGATTATAGTAGGATGTTTTAAGGTCTTTTGACCTACTATGTTGCCCATAGAATATCACGTAAACTCGTCGGAATTTCTGGGTGTAAGGGAGATATGGTTTTTTGTATGTTTGTCCATATTGTATCGGTTCTTTCTTCTCATCTCTCATAAATGAAAATTTAACAAGAACGACAATACTCTTTAATCAGGCACGATATTACACAATTATTAATCTATACACTTGTGTACCAAACTAATGATCATACACCTAGATATAGAGTGGCTTATTGAGAACTCTGTGTTGATACACAAAGAACATTTTCAGCCTGATTCTGCCGCTTTTGCATCCTGAAAAACCCGAAAACAACACTCCCTAGAGCTAATCAACTAGACATTAATTCCACCTCTTCACAACACAACTGATTAGTTCTAATTCATCACATCAATTTCTCATATTTCTTCCATTCACCGTTTTAAGCAGAAGCGGCCGCCTTGCAAACCGGCAAGTCCTTCTCGACGTTGGGCGGGATCCTCAGGATCGGGTTCCTCTCGAAGAAGTTGACCGGTTTCAGATCGAAGCTGGAAGACACCGTCGGCATGATCGGAAAATCCTCTTGACAGGGAATGTGATGGAATCCCATCGTGTACCACACCACTATGTCCTTGTTCTCTATTTCCCTGTCCCTGCAAAAACCATAATTTGCCAAATTCAGAAGTTTAGGGGCTGATTTGGGAAACAAATCAAAATTCAGGTACGGAAATAAAAAAAAAAAACTCCCCCGTACCGGTCGGACCAGACTTGAAGATTCTCCTCCCCATGATTCTGGTAAGCGAACAGACCACCGGCCCATTCCTCCGACCGGTTGTACGGCGTGACCCATATCTGGTTATTGGTAAACGCGCCCCGCATCTGAGGCGGGTCGGAGTGATCCAGCAGGCTGGCCGCGGTTCCACCCGCGACCACCTTGTACCCGACCGGGTTCCCAACCCGGGTGGTTTTGCCCGGGTTAACCACGTGGAACTCGGACGGGTTGTAGAGCTGGAACTTGATCTGGGCCTCTTTCTCCGTCTTGGCCACTTCCCTCACGGCCTTCAGGAAGCTCCGCCTCGGCGAATTCACCTCCGGCGAGGTCTCCTCCTTCTTGATGTGGACGTTCACGAAGGAGTTGTCGACCCCGTCGACGTCCATGTCGAGATAGAACGTGACGTAGTGGTCGTGGATGACTCCGATCACGTTCTCCGACAGCATTGTGCCGTAGAGATTCTCGTCCTCGGGTACCTCGTTCTTGTTCACGTAGCTTGTTCCTTTCACCATCAGGATTCCGCTCAGACCCACCTGATTTGATCCGATTAGAGAGCATAATATTAAAGAGATCATATGTAGTTAAGAAGAAATCAGGGTGTCAATATAATAGTAGAGATCTTATAATTTAGCAGTCAAATGACCGTTAACTAGTTAGTTTCTTAATTGGGCTATTATTAACTAATATGAATCTCAATTGAATTTGATTCGATTGATCATAATATGACTTTAATTGAAGGATCGGTCGAGCCGATAGACACAAAATCTTAATGCTCGAAAGTTTTCTGTGTACTAGCTTAAGAGACGGTATATTGATGATAGTTTCTTAGTTTCTTTCACCACTAATACGAGAGTTGATACGAAATCAGAGAAAAGTTCACTCTAATACAAACCTACCACTACTATCAAATGAAGGTTAGTGACAAATGAGAAGTTACGAAAACTCAGAATACCCTCTTAAGTTTCATAACTGTCCTGATATCACTAGACATTTTGGTTAATGTAGGTTAATTATCAAACTAATGTACATATAGTTATCCTAAATATCAAGAACCCCAAGAAATAAGATCACCTTAATTCGGATGAGCCCATCCGTTTGAAATTCCCAGTCGATGATGTAATCGTAATTCGCCACCGAAGCTGCCATTCTAGCCACAAGCGTCACTTTTGGTCTCGCCTCAATAATCTGTCCAAAACCAAAGCAACGACAAAAAGTTAGTGGAGATCAACACCGATTTTTCCGCCCCATGTCTGACGTCATTATTAACATCTTCCCTATTTTCCCATCTCAATTCTCACCCCCATGCCGGTGATCGGACTCTCCGAGTGGCGCCACCCGATATCTCCGCCGTAGCTCTCGAAAATACAGACCATATTCGGCCGGACATACGGCGTACCGTCGCCGGCGGCGAACACCGCGTCCATGTAATGAGCGTTCCTTGGACAATCATTGAGCGGGTCAAGCGGCATGGAGTTCAACCCGAACCCGTATTCGCCCGCATCCATATACGTCTTGAAGTACCAAGCATCAGTCGGATCCATGTACGGGACGAAAAGCTCCGACGTATAACCTTTATACATCACGCTCCTCATCTCCCCGGTTTCCGGGTCCTTGACCCGGGCCTGGGAAACGATCACCCCGGCTCTCGGGTCGGGCTTCAGGTGAAATTCCCAGTTTGCCCATCTCACCAGGTGGTCCCCCGTGACCGTGAAAGTGGGGCCCTTCGGCTGCTCGATCGAGATCGGATTGACCAAATCCAGCCGTTGATTCTTCTTTATCGCGGAGTAGCGGTAGTCTGTGTTGGCGGCGTTCGGTATGGGTATGTGCCTCCCTTTATCGACGATCTCGATGACGTCTTTGGAGTCCAGATCGACGACCACGGTGAGCCCTTCGATCGGCCGCATGTAGAAGTTCACCGTATCTTTCATGGAGTAGCACTGCACCTTAATCAACCTCCGATCCTCCTCCTTTTTCCCGAACCAACCCAGCGAGATCGGCAGGCACGCCACGTCACTCAACTCGACCCCTCGATCCGTGACCGTCCGATTGAAATCGGCGCTCGCGAACGGGGCCCACGTCGCTGACGTCATGTCCTCGACCGTCATCGTCGGGTAGCCCGACGGGGAGGAATCCGATGCCCGGTCCGCTTTCAGCTCGCCGGAGGCTACGTCGACGGAGAGGAGTAAGGTGTCGCCGCCGCTGCGGGCGATGGCGAAGGCCTTACGCGGCGGGAGGGGGTCGCCGGGGGACCAGCGGAGGACGGCGGACTTCGGCGGCTCTTCCAACACGACGGTGTGGAGGGCGACGGCGGAGGAGGAAGGGGATTTGAAGAGGTGGTGGGAATTGATGACGTGGCGGACTTTGTTGAGCTCTTGGATGGTGAGTGGGTCGAGCGGGTGCTGGGGAGTGGCGGATTCGTGGCGGAGACGGCGGGATTCGGCGGTGGGGTTGGGCGGTTGTTTGAGGATTCCGGCGATTTTTCTGGATTTGCATGCGGAGGAATTGGAGGAGGAGGAGGAGGAGGCAGAGCAGCGGGAGGAAAGGCGGGGGGAGGGTTGCGGTGGGAGGTAGGTGGGGAAATTTGCGCAGGCGAAGAGGATGAGGATGCCGGCGGCGAGAAGGAGGAAGAGGAAGCGGGAGAAGTGGGTGGATTCCATGGCGGAGATTTTGGTGGAGTTTGGAGCTCTGAGAGTGGGAAGTGAGCTCAGTGAGCAGCGTCCACTGACAATAAATAAGCGAAAATTGGAATAATCAATAATGTGGAGTAAAAAAACCAGATATTGACAAATTGATGAAATAAAAAGATAAAGAATGTAGATTTTTTATGCTGAATCGCTATTCGTTAATGTTTGGTCACTACAAATACTTATTTCCATTTGTGATCATTAAGTTTACTAAAACATTGATCACTCTCCGTTAGCCTCTGTTAATGGCGTCAATTTTTTGCTGATGTGGCTAACAGAATCGCCCAATCAGCCTATATACTCTGTTGTGTTTGGGTCGTATTCACTACAAGAAAATTATGATTTGGGGACAACAAAGGTGGTCGCAAAATTTCTCAACAATAATTATCATAAATGATTGTCAAAATTGAATTTTTGTGCCTTTTCTAAAATAGCTATAGATGGTCACGAAATATCAGTTTTCTTGTAGTAATTGAAAATTATTTATCGTTCTACTTTGGTGTTCTATCTTTTCTGTTTCACGTCTAGTTTGAATCTTCGATGGTGAGATCATTTCCAATAAATCAAAGTAACGGATGTTGAGAACACAAATTAATTGCAAGTTTGGTCACTCGAATTGCTATAAAATTTCACGTTTGCCACTCAAATTAATTTATTCCATTTATAGTCACTCGAATTAGTTGAACAGTTCAAGTTCGGTCACTCTCCGTTAATCTCCGTTAACTTTAACTGACATGGCGGTCAACTCTGACAGTTGACCGTTAAATGTGTGACGTGGCAAATAAAAAATAATTAAAAATAAAAATTAAATTTTTAGAAATTACACATCATTATCACAAAAAATTATAATTATAAAAAATGAAAAAAAGAAATTACACATCATTATCTCAAAGAAATTATCACAAAAACAAACAACACAAAATTTCTTCCAGATTCGTGCCCTGCTTCCATAGACAGAGTCTTTAGTCTTTACCATACACATGAAAATTGGGTTCTGTTGGTTCGTCGTTGCAGGGCTGGGCAACTGCGATCTGGACGTCAGAAGAGGAGTTTCACCCACCACAGAGTCAATAGCTGCCGCCGTGCTCTTACTTCCATCGCCGGTATCGTCGGGTGGGTTCTTCCCGACTGCGGGTACGACTAATGCATCTGCAATTCGGCATGCCCACAATATATAACTAACTCGATCCATTATTTAACTTATTTTAATGCATGTGTATAACTATAGCATCTTTACTTTGCAGGTTTACATTTTGTTACTGTCTGGTTCCAACAGTATTTGATTAATTAGTTAGATTAGTTCAACGCAAACAATAACAAATGAAGATCTGAAGCTTGGTTGGTGGAGGAAATTGCTTACAAACATGCTGTTGAAGATTCAAGAACTCAGCTGCAGGGACAAAAGTCCAAAAGAAATAAAACAGAGGAAACCACAAGAGAACAGAGTGTTTTGGAAGGAGGAATACTGCAGTTTTGAACTCAACCCCTCAACCATAAGTTAGTACTTAGTACCTACCAGCTTCATGATGGCGGAGAAAATCTCCATGGCGCCAATGTGGCGGAGGTTGCGCCAGTGGTCGCCGTAGGGGGCTCGGGTTATGGTGGTGCAGTGAATTGGGGGTTTCAAGAGGCTGACGTGGCCGATGAATGGGAAGACAGATGGCGGGCTTGGAGGCAGTTTCCGGCGTAGGCTGATAACGACGCAGAGGACGAGCTTCCATTGGCCATTGCCCTTCCTAAAATTATAATTATAACTTTTATTTTATTTTTTTAATTTATTATGATGATGAGGTGGAATTATTAAAAGATTTTTTTATTTTTTAATTGCCACGTCATTTATTTAACGGTCAACTGTCAGAGTTGACCGCCACGTCAGATAAAGTTAACGGAGACTAACGGAGAGTGACCAAACTTGAACTGTTGAACTAATCTTAGTGACCATGAATGGAATAAATTAATTTCAGTGGCAAACGTGAAATTTTTTAGTAATTCCAGTGACCAAACTTGCAATTTACCCATAAAAAATATAAGGTGGGTAGGGTACTGGGGAAATGGTAAAGGACATTTTTCTTGTCTTTTTGTTTTTAGGATTTTTGTTGGTTCTGTGCAATCCCATTATTAAAATTATACTTTTCTCAATTAAGAATCTTTTCCTTTCATATTCCTTCATGGTGTTCTCTAGGTTATTGTTGTTCAGTTTTTGTACGGGGAATCTTTTATGTATATTCTCTGTCGGAATATTTGGTTCGCGCAGTGCTTTTCGGGAAGTTGATCTCTAAGGATTCTGATTTTGTTTATTACCACTTGATTAGGTTGGGTTAGTATGTTAATGGAGTTCTAGTAGGCAATTTTCTTGCAGATACTTCGTGGGTGGAATCTTCCGACAAATATTTGATGGTCTTCGTGTATGAAAATTCATTAAAATCAAAATAAATGACATATCAAATTTATGTGTTTCACAAACACAATATATACTAGATAATTTATAAATAGAGTTTAACAGATTTAATTCCTTATTTAAATGTAAAACATGTATCTTTCATTAATTTGAAATATTTCAAACATCGCTCAGCTTTGGTCATAATAGCAAAAAAAAATTTGTTCCATAACCAACTATTCTCACTCTTCACAAGTGAGATATTTACCTTTGTAGAATAGAGAATTTAGAAGACTAGAATGCCAAACCCTTCTCAGTTCTCACCCACCCACATTCCTGAAAAAGATGTCTTTCTAGGTTTCTTTTAGACTAAAAAAGCAATCATCACACTCTTTTATATTCTTTGAAATGAAGTAATGAACAATATTCACTCCCATTAACAAAACGTTCATGATATCCATTTCCAACCTTTACTTTTAAAGAAATTTGCACCCTCAACCTCTATTCCTATTGACAAGGTTGTATAATTCCCTTCTCTCAGCCTCATTTATGTCTTGCCATAGATTTTAAGCTAATCTAAAAGATTTTCCGCATGTCTTCTAATAACGGATAACCTCAAACATGTCTATCCTCAGCTGGTTGTCGAGGATAGGCCAAAACAGAGCTCAATAAAAAATACGCCAATCCAAGATCCAAACCATAAATAGATAAATGAAGCCGAATTTTGTTAGATTTCTTTTCTATTAAATAATATGAATAAAAAATATGAATAATATAAATAAAAAATACGCCAATCCAAGATCCAATCCATAAAAAGTATTCAAAACGAATTTTGTTAGATTTCTTTTCTATTAAATAATATGATTCTATATTTTATTTAATTTTTAAAATGATATAAATGAAAATTTTATGAAATAAAATTAAAATATGGTAAGGATAACGTTGTATTTTTAAAACAGTTTTTCGCAGAATCTCTAAATCGAAGCTTCTGTATTTATGATATACGAAAGCACTTATCGACTTTTTAAAAGCCAATTTTTAGAGGCGTTTGGCCCTGCTCAGCTTTTGAAGTCAAAGAACCATTCTAAAAATCGGGCCAAAATTAGACTATATAAAAGAAGGTAAACAATAGCAAGAACATGAATCACATGATGAGCCTTTATCATTAAAGAAGAAAACATTGTTTATCTTTACGAATAGAATGGCTTGTCATTCATCATTCATTATTATCTCTATACAACAAAAGCATCCAGTGGTGGGATCTCTATGTGGATCAGGCCACCATTGCAGCTGGAGCAAATTAAACCAGTGATGTTCGCTTTAGTTGCGTTGTCCATTACACAGCTGGTTTGTCACCCATCATTATACATCCATCCGAAACTAGGTCTGTAAACTAAGCTCCAGGGGAGTAAGTTACAAAAATGGCGGTTCTTCTGATGTAGTGGTTGGCACGTATTCTTTGGCAGTACGTCTTTCCCATTTCAGCCATTCAGTGCTCACTGCTCAGTGGTTGAACTTGAAGTGGCGCATATCTCTTCAGTTGGCTTTCGCTTTCCAGTTTAGCAGCAAAGCAGGGAACTGGCTCTCTTCTATTGGCCAAAACTCCAATTGCGTCCCCAAAACTCCAACTTGATCAATTGCATTTGGGAACTCGGTTTATAATTATGTTAGTTTCTTTGTAGATTGTTCTTCCTTTTTGGTTGCTGCTAAAACAACTCTTTCATTCTTGTAGAAATTGGACAGTTCAGTTAGTACGATATTGTTCGCTTCGGGCCAAACTCATACGGTTTTACTCTTAGGTGTTCTCCTCAAAAGACCTCATACTAATTGAGATAGGCGGACACTAATATATAAGGGTTTTTTCCCTTGTATTTCCGATGTGGTACTTGGATTGTAACATAACAATTTCCGATGTGGTAATGCATCCAATTGTCTAGTTTCAACGTGGTTGTTTGTGCTTGCGTCTGTATTCATCTTGTAGACCTCTGTGGGCTGCTTCTTACACCTTCCATCCTTATGATTCTGATTGTTGCTCCGTCTCTTCTCTTTTACATGGACTTCGCTGTACTCTTTGAATAAAATCCTCAGCTTCAGAAGGACTTGCCAATCTTGAAACAAATGATTAATTATGCAGAGTTGTTGATCATTTCCTTGCAAAAGGTACCACAACAAAGCACACCAGCGACCCAACTCCTCCTCCGACGCTTCTTGAAGGATTCTTGAAAGCAAATTTCTGCAAGGTACAACTGCTGCAATGTAAAGAGATTTATGAGGGGAGAGTGACTCTGTTGATGTGTGTTACATCCGTGACAACCAGTCGTAGACTGATAGTCTAATTCAAATCATATCTACAATCACTACTCAATATACAGTATTGCATAGACTTTTTTAACCACAGTTCAGATATTCATCTCCAAGTTTCTTGAATTATGTGCAACTTTCTACATTAACCGGTCGTTTGCTTCGTGGATTTTAAAAATAAAGGTTTTACTCAAATTTGGGTTTTATAAAACCATGAATATATGAGGGTTTTGGGTTCATTATGAACTTGTAAAATAACATTGTTTGTTTCATAGATTTCATGATGGTTTTGGTTAGTAGATTTGTATGAATCAAGTGAAATTGACCTATATTGCCCTTATTAGTATGAGAATAGAAAGAACATAGGAAGGGCAAATTGGTCATAAATGATGTGGGTTAAAGACACATTTGGTCACTGAGATTACAAAATCGGGACATGTTTAGTCACTAGAAAAAGTTAATATTAAATTTGGTCACTACAATTACTAAA